GAGTGGGCTGGCCTACTCAGCACTGGGAACACCTTCCTGACCCCATGGGCTGAGTTGGGGAGGAGGAAGCTACAGCTGGGGGTCTCAGGTAACAATGAGTGGGGAAGCCCAACAGCAGCCGGAGAGCCCAGAGCCAGCCCCTCCCTGCTCATGGGTTTGTGCCACTCACCGATGCCTGACACGGTGCCCCAGGCCACAGCCATAGCCAAATGCGCCATCTTGGGCCCAACACCTGGCAGTGCCACCAGCTCTGCCACGGAGGCTGGGATGTCCCCTCCATAGCGCTGCTGCAGGATGGCGGTGGTCTGCTTGATGTACTTCACCTTGTTCTGAGGAATAGAGGGAGTCAGCCCTGCAGGTTCAGCCTGGCCTGGGAGGATGAGGCCCTGGGAGGCCCACAGGTGCCCAGAGCTGCCCGTCCCCTGCCCAGGACCCATGCAGAGGCAGGTGCTCACCCCTAACCCCCAGTGGTTGGGACAAGCCGAGGGCAGCAGAGAGGCTCAGGGGAGCCCCTGGCAGGGCCCCACGGCAGGCCCGGACCCCTGCCTCCCACCTGCATGGGCCCATGATGTATGTAGGGTCCGGCTTGGGTCCCCCGCCCTGTCATTCCCCCCAGAGGCCAGGCCAGGCTGCGCAGGCCACTCCCAGGAGCTGGGTTTAGCAGCACCTGGGCCTTCAGGAAGGAAGGCTGGAGCCCGGGTTCCCCCGCCAGCCACAGGCCAGCCGGGTGGTTCCCATCCTGTGCCTGAGTGAGGGCTATTTAAAACCAGCCTGACAGACTGCTGGTGCCAAGGGAAGCAGCCCCACCCTCCGAGCTGCTTCCAACAGATCCACCCGCCCACCGCCCAGTGCTCAGCTGAGGGGGGCAGCCTTGGGAGGGCTCCTGGAGGGTGAGGGGCTGGGGGGCGGTGCACTCCAGGGAGGCTTGGAGTAAACAAAGGGAAAGGCGGGAGAGGAAGGGCGGGGCAGGCGGGAGCAGAGGAAGGAAGGGGAGGACACAAACAGGAAAGGCCTGGGAGCTCCAGGGACTGGGCGCCGGCCCCCACGGGCTGCGCAGAGGGATGGGGGCCCTAGCAGGACTTGCACCCAGGCCCCCGATGCCAGAGAGGCCTGACCCTTGTCTCTGGCACCCCCATACCCCTAAGCCTCCGGTGGCTGCGGGCTGGGCTCACCCTCCAGAAGCCTACGGGGTAGATGAGCTTGCCCAGCGTGCTGTCATCAGTCTGCAGGATGCTGTCTACCGTCAGGCCCTGGGCCCGCAGCCGCTGCATGGCGCCTGCCGTCACCTGGTCCTTGGTCTGGCTGGAGAGCATCAGCGACAGCAGCACCTGGTACCTCCGCACCTGCTGGTGTAGTGACAGGGACAGAGTGGTGGTGGGTCCTAGTGCTCGCCCTGGGCCACCTACCCATCTCCACCTGTTACCCTGAGCAACACATGGGACACCAGCCTCCTACCCACCCAGACCAACAGGCGGTAGGGTAGGGTGTGTGGGTCTGGCTGAGGTCTGTTTGTCACCTACAACATGGGGATAATAACAGTAGCTGCCTCGCAGGATCAGAGAGACCCTTACGTGAATTATCACGGTACTTAGAATTGTATCTGGCACATAGTCACTACAGGCATTGGCTGCTACAGTTACTGTTGCTTCGTGAATGACAACACTACCCATTTTACAGACAAGCAAACTGAGGTTCGGAGAGGCATGTATGCAAGTCACCTGGTAACAGAGTAGGGATCAGAGCTCAGAGAAATCTCCAGACCCAGGCTCTGGGCCACTGAAGTATAAGGCCTGTGCCTCCCTCACATTATGGAAAGCACATGACACACCTGTGCCATGCCCAGCAGAAAGCAGATCATGAGGCCCTAAGCTGCAGGTACCTGTGACCTGCTGGGTGGCTACAACGAAGCCGGTGATGCCGCCCAGTACTCTGGGACGCTGTCCTGTCAAGGTGCTGCCTGCAGGGGAGGGTGCCAGCCAAGGGCCACCAGGTGTCAGGCTGTCAGAAGCCTGAGAGAAAACAAGCATCTTGCTGGGAAGGAGGTTACCCAGGCAGATGGGGCCCCTGCCTACCTTTGGGGGGGCGCTGGGGTCATAGCAGTGCTCGGCCCCCAGCTGGTCTACAGGTGCGTCCTTCTTGCTCCTCATGGTGCGAATGTTGACCAGCTGCTGCTGCCAGTCCTGGGGCTCCCAGGTGGGCACCTTGAGGGGCTTGGCCCCCTCACCTTTCTCACCATCTGAGGCCTCATAGGCCACGTGCAGTCTCTGTGGTTTCCGCTGACGCTTCACAGGGCTGTGACGTTTCCTTCCTTCTGCAAAAAGTGCCACTCAGTCCCCTTAGTAGGGGCACAGGTGAGGGTAGGATATGGGTGCTGCCCTACCTGCTAGCACATCCCTCACTCATTCATGCAAAACTGTCCATCATCTGTTAAACTCTGGGGTGCTCTGCCCTCGGGGGCATGTCGGCCTTCCTTACACCACTGCCCCCTGACAAGGTCCGCATCAGCACGTGAGAAGCCTGGTAACAGTGTCTACCATGGTGAGGCTGATGTATCCTCTCCATCGTCTGTACTGCATCAGAAACAGCTATCTAACACCCAGATCAGATCCCATCACTTCCCTTTTTAAAACTCTTCATCAGCTTCCCTTTGCACTTAGAATGAACTCCAAACTCTATCCTGGCATCAAAGTTCCTGCCATTCTGGCTGGCATTATCACCTGCCTGTTCCCCACTGCACACCAGCTCCTCCTACCACACCTCTATGCCTGTCTGGACTACCCCTGGGGGTCCTTGGGTGCCTGTGGGATTCCCCCTCTAGCCAATTCTGCATAAGTTCTGGGGGACACGTGCAGGGCCCCTGTTAGTGTTGCTCACTGCTGACTCCCATGCTTGGCACACAGTAGGTCCTTTATGGCGACAGGATAAATATAACGAATGCCATGTCCTTTCCTGTTTTCTCTCTGAGGCACCCTCTAGCTGGGGGAGACTTACGATTGGGTGTGTCCTTCACACCCAGCCCCTCTGAGAGGGAAGCAGGTTCACTGCATGAGGACAGGGCTGGTCTGCTCCACAGCCTGGGCAAGTGCAGTATCCCGGGACAGCTGATGGGGCGGGAAGAACTATCTTGCTCAGGACCAGAGTGGGCGGGCAGGCCCAGGCCCCGGTAGACACCAGCGGACCCCAGCCTCTCGGAAAAGGATGCAGGGTGGGCACGCAGAGCCGCGGAACTCGTTAGTGGCTGCCGGTCTGCCGCGTCCTGCGTCCCGGTCCCGGTCCCGGCCGCGCAGCTTGGAGCCCTTGGAGGCGGCCAGGGACCCAGCCTGCAGCCCCTAGTCCCCTGCAGGCCTCTTCCCCCGCCCCTCCGCCCGTGCTCCGGCAGGGGCGCGGCGCTACCTGCAGCCGCCTCTCCCCTCCCGAGCGGCGCAGAGTCCTCCCCGCTCGCCCGCGGCCCGGCCCGGGGTCCCCGGGTCCGGCTTCTGGTCACCATCCTCGTGCTCATAGCGTTCATGCCGGACTCCTGCGGACTACACGTCCCGGCAGCCCCCGAGGCTCCGTCACGAGACTCAAAGCGCTTCCACTCTTTCAGCCACATGGCGACCCGGAACTACGACTCCCAGCAAGCCCTGCGCCGGCCCTCGGTGAGGTCGCGCTGCCGGAAGTGCAGGTCGGACTTCCGGCGGCGGCTCCGGGCTGGGGGCGTGCGCCCTTCTCGGCGTTCGGGCTGACCGACGCGCGGAGGCGCGGCGAGGGGTGAGTGGCTCGCGACGGCCCGACCGCTGGCGCCGGCCTAGACCGCGACGCAGCCCGGCCCCGACGGGGCAGCCGAAGGGGCTCCTGGGGCGACGGGCCCCGCAGTGTCCAGGTCCCAGGCCTCGGCCGCGCCCACCGTAGCTGGACCCCGGAGCTGCGAGCGCTCTTGGCTTTTAAGTCATGGCGGGTGCGAATGGCTCTCTGCTTCAGGCATTTGCGTGACAGCTCCTCCTCCACATGGGGAGAAGAGAGAGGGCAAACGTCAGGGCTCCCTAAGACCCCACGGCAGCCGCCCACCCCGTGCACGGAGTCGGGCGGGGCGGACGGGAGGCCGCGTCTGAGCAGGCAGCTCGCTATACCAGGCCTGGCAACTCCCAGGCTTATTTGTGGCAGGGTCAGCCTGGCTGTGGTTGAGTTCTGCCCAGGGGCTGTGGAAGAGCTTATGCCCACCCTTGACTTGCGGTCCTGGCTGCTGGCGGTCGTCAGCGGGGCGGGTGGGTGGAGCTGTTCCTCAGATGGCTCCATGCCTGGTTCTGTTGCACAGAGGAGTCCTCTGGTGTGTCCCTGCCCACCATGGCCAAGCCAACAAGCAAAGATTCAGGCTTGAAGGAGAAGTTCAAGATTCTGTTGGGACTGGGAACATCAAGGCCAAATCCCAGGTCTGCAGAGGGTAAACAGACGGAATTCATCATCACGGCAGAAACCCTGAGAGTGAGTGAGCTGCCTGTCTTTACCAGCCTAGTGGGAAGTGCAAGGAAGGCTGGGTTCAGTCTTGCACTAGGTTCTGTGGGAGGTGGGTTGCTGGTGATCATTCGCACAGGAGTGCTGTCTCCAGTACTGGTGGGCATGTCCTCCTTTCCTTTGGGAAGCTCAGAAAGTATCTTGGTGACCTGGTCCAGCACACTTGAGTTAGTACTCAGGTATTGATGTAAGACAGCCCGTTTTACTAGATGTGGCCTGAATGCCATCGTCTCACAGGTGGTTAGGGATATGGCCAGGTGTTGCCTGGTAATTTGTGAGTTCTGGGAGAAGTAGGTCCTTATCTTTTATGTGGGTTTGTATCCTCCTGACACATGCGTGGCATCATGTTTTGCCCGTAAGTAAATGTTGAATTTTTGCACTTGCAGAGTTTTCCACTTAGAAACAACAGAAACATTTATCAGCTGATGAATGGATAGATACCACGTGGTGCACGTTAGGTCCGGAGCCAATAGAGAGCGAGAGCGAGAGAGAGACAAAGCCTCATGTGTAGCAAAATGCTTTTATTTTGAGCATCTGGGTGCAGATGGGTGGAGGCGAAAAAGCATCCACGAGAGAAAAGGGGAGCCTTGGGTTTTATAGAGGGTTTTTTTGGGGGGTGGGGGGGAGTAAGTAAGTAGGCCAAAACAGCTGCTTGTAATTAATTCTTTTGCAAACAACCAACTCCTGATACCCCTGCCCCAGTCACATCCATCCTTCAGCTCTGGCGTCGTCCTTATCAGGAGAGTAGGGAGGAACAGCCTTCTTCTCTATCAGGGAGGGGGAAGGAGTGCCGGCTGCAGCTGTGTGTTAGATCTACAAAGTCCGGGGACCCTCCAGATTCCTGGGGCTATTGTTTTACAAGCCTGAGTTTTGCATTAACCACATTCTGTCCTATACATACGTTTCGGGTTCCCACCTGGAACAAACCTAACAGTACATTCATACGGTGGGATGTGATCGAGCAACAAAAAGAAATGAAAAACTGACACATACTACAACGTAGATGAACCTTGAAAACATCTTAAGTAAAACAACGAGTCACAGAGGCCACATATGTGAAATGTCCAAGTAGCCAAATCCACAGAGACAGAAAGTAGATTCATGTTTGCCAGGGGCCGGAGAAGGATGGAATTGGTGTGGGGTTTTCTTTGGGAGTGATGAACATGTTCTGGAATTAGTGGAGACGGCTGTAAGAATTGCAGATATACAAAAGACTGAATTATATAGTTCAAAATTGTTACAATGGTGTATTTTAGGTTATGTGGGTTTTATCTCAATAAAAAATTTTCAGTCACGAAGGAAAAGTTTCATTTTCTCAGTCCACTGAGATGGAGCAGTAAGTTCTTTGGTGAATCCTGATTTCGGGAAGACCTGCTTTAAGTGTCCAGTTCTTAGGGTGGTTTGTGACTAGCGGTTAAGGAGACCTGTGGCCTGAGCGCCGGCCCCTTTTTTCTTTCGTCTCTCTCTAGGAACTGAGTGTTGAATGTGGCCTCAACAATCGTATCCGGGTGATAGGGCAGATTTGTGAAGTCGCAAAAACTAAGAAATTTGAAGAGGTACGTTTGTCGCAGTTGGGCTACTAAAAAGATGCATGTAGGTTGTTTAAAAGCCTGAGTTTGCTTTTTCTAAGAGCATGATTGACAGCTAACTATGCTGATGATCTGATTTGGACTATTTTAGGGTAACTTTCATCTTAGTGATGGGAAGCTTCTGGAAATGCCCTGAGTACAACCCTGAGGAGCCAATCGTGTCGGGCTGGGGAGCAGAGGGGATAGGTTTTTCTAGCAGATCCCAGAAAGGTTTTGTAGTGGCTTATAAAAATGCATGCTTACTTGTCCTCTCCTATTACAAATTCAGGGGAAAGGAAAATAAAGGAACGTCAGGAAAAGGCTTGGTTTCACAAAGAACAATTCAAGGTGTACCAGTCCCGGTGCCATTTTGGGAGAGGTGACTGCCTGGTGGTATCAGGCGATCTCACAGACACAGACACGTTTATCTTGGGCAAATGTTTCCAAACTCTGTCGGCGACTGGGGACAAAATGGAAAAATTGTCATTCTGGGAGTGCAAGGCTGCTGCTAGAGCACCCTAGGGCCCTGCCCTAGCCTTGCCCAGCATTTGCAGGAGAACAAACGCCTCACACCTCACAGACTCAGGGCTGCTAAGGGAAGAATGACTGCATCTTCAGCAGTTCATCCCAAACATACAAGCTGCACATACCAAGGAAAAATGTAAGAAATAGGCAGAAGGTAGTTTTTTTTTTTTTTTTTGGAGACAGAGTCTTGCTCTGTTGCCTGGGCTAGAGTGCCGTGGTGTCATCCTAGCTCACAGCAACATCAAACTCCCAGGCTCAAGCCATCCTCCTGCCTCAGCCTCCCGAGTAGCTGGGACTACAGGCATGCACCACCATGCCTGGCTAATTTTTTTTTTTTTTTTTGAGACAGAGTCTCACTCTTTTGCCCGGGCTAGAGTGAGTGCCGTGGCATCAGCCTAGCTCACGGCAACCTCAAACTCCTGGGCTCAAGAGATCCTCCTGCCTCAGCCTCCCAAGTAGCTGGGACTATAGGCATGCGCCACCATGCCCGGCTAATTTCTCTATATATTTTTAGTTGTCCAATTAATTTCTTTCTATTTTTAGTAGAGACGGGGTCTCACTCTTGCTCAGGCTGGTTTCGGACTCCTGAGCTCAAACAATCCGCCCGCCTCGGCCTCCCAAGAGAGCTAGGATTACAGGCGTGAGCCACTGCGCCCGGCCCCGGCTAATTTTTTGTATATGTTCTTAGTTGTCCGGCTAGTTTCTTTCTATTTTTAGTAGAGACGGGGTCTTGCTCTTGCTCAGGCTGGTCTCGAACTCCTGGCCTCAAGCCATCCTCCCGCCTCGTAGAAGGTTGTTTGTATAGGTACAAAACATCGAGCGGGCCTCAGAGGCTGGGGTGGTCCACAGGCTCTGTGTCTGTGTGTTATGCAGCTCAGGTTGCCACAGTGGGAGTATTGTGGATGAGACAAAGGAGGTGAGAATCCCAGCGCGTCCTGAGTTGGTTGGGATGTTGGTCAGATGACACCTACCAGACCACGGCCATTTTAGTTCCTCTTCTGCCAGGAGTGAGCCCAGGAGAGGGGGAGTGGTCTGATAGCTCTGGTTGGAGGTTAACGTGGCGAAGGGAAGGTGACGGGAGCCATCTCAGATGCTTGCTGAGTGACACTGATTGTGGCAGTTCAAGGGGCAGCAGGGACAAGTTCCCCATGGGCGGGGTGGGAGTCAGAGGAGGCAGATTTCAGAAGGAGCAGCGAGTTCTTGTCCACAGGTCCGAGGGTGGTGGAGGCAGGGCAGGGTGTGGTGCCAGGGCCCATGGCTGGTGTGTTCACGGAGAAAAGCCACGGAGCTGCATGTCTGGCACAGGCTCAGGGCGCGCCGTGCGCTTCTGGTTCTTAGACCCCTCTGCTGACTTTCCCCACCAGAGTCTGAGCGACTCTAACGGAGACTCCCTGTGGGCCTTGGGGAAGCCAGGCTGCTTCCCGGCCTGCCTGCTGTCCTCCCCTCGCCTGTTCCCGTCTGTGCCCTGGGGTGGCTGAAAGGGACCTGCTTGGGTTTGAAGTCGCCTTGAGCCATTCCTGTCAGGCTTGTGATCATCACGGGCTGCAGCAGGGACACGAGACATGAGCGTTAGAGGGGCTCTAAGCCATAAGACCCCATTGTCTGCTCTGTCCGGTGTTCACGGTGCTGTCCTTGAGTTGAGGGGCCGGTTCTTGGAGACCGCACCCTGATCACTGTCCCCCTTTTCTGGTGCCAGCATGCAGTGGAAGCGCTCTGGAAGGCGGTCGCGGATTTGCTGCAGCCAGAGCGGCCGCCAGAGGCCCGGCACGCGGTGCTGGCTCTGCTGAAGGCCATCGTGCAGGGGCAGGTAAGGGGCCGGCGGGGCTGTGCCCTGGTGTAGGGTGACACCAGGGTGCCCACAGACTGTCCTGCTCCTGTTGGCCACCTTTGTTATGTGCGGGATCTGGTGCCTGATGGGCTCTGGAGCCAGACTGCTGGTGGCAGGGGGGCTCCTGGCCTCACCCCGCCGTGTCTGTGGCCCTGGCAGGTCACTGGAGCCAGAGCCTCTACCTCCCCTGTGAATGAGGATGGTCGCTGTACCTTCCTCCCCTGGGGTGTTTTGAGGGTTAAATGAAGCAATCCGTGGGACCTCAAGACCATGCCCGGCTCAGGCTGTCCTCACCTTGCCCCCTGCCCTTTCCCAGTAGCCGGGCAACTGCTCTTCTCTCACGTTCCAGCTGCTCCAGCTGCTTCGTGACACCCATCCCCTCTTGTTCCTGCCTGAAGGCTCCCTCCCCCAGCTGGCCGCTTTCTTCTACTCCTTCATGTCCCGGATGCTCAGAGAGGCCCATCCACTCTCACTGCGCCTCTCCTGGGGCTTCGCCAGCTTAGACCTTGTTGCTCTGTGAGCACAAATGTATCTGTCTGGGCTGAGCACTGGGGCAGCAGGAGCTGCGTTGTCCCCTCTGTGTGCCCGCACCATGCCTAGAGGCTGAGTTGCAGCAGGTGCTCCGCGCGCGCGGTCAGCCGCTGGCCAGTGCACCTGGGGCCTGCCCCGCACCCCGCCAGCATCGCCACCCTGCTCCTCGTCGCGTGCGCCTGTGGGAAGGAGAAAGGGCTGGAGTCTAGGTGCCCCCTGCAGCCTTGGACTTCTTGGCAGGCCCGTGGGAGACTGTGGCAGGGCTCTGCTGACCCTTGTTTTTGTCTTTAGGGTGACCGCTTAGGGGTCCTTCGAGCCCTCTTTTTTAAGGTCATCAAGGATTACCCTTCCAACGAAGACCTCCACGAAAGGCTGGAAGTTTTCAAGGCCCTCACGGACAATGGGAGACACATCACCTACTTGGAGGAAGAACTGGGTGGGTGCCACATCGGGTGTGAGGTTTCTCTGGCCGTGGTGATCAAATTTAATCTGGGATGCAGGAGGCCTGGGGCCGGCCAGGGGTGCTGCAGTTCACAGCGATGGCCTGCAGGGGGCGCGCACCACTCAGCTCTGTGCACATGGGCTCACCTGGATCCGCCCCAATCTCCTGGGGAGCTTGTTAAAAATGCAGTCGTGGGCCTCGTTCCAGACTTGCTGACCCAGAGTGTCTGGGCCTAGGAACGTGCCTGTGGAGTGGGCAGGAGGTGGGCTGCATCCCTGGTCCTGTTCCCCTCGCCCTCCGTGCCCGCCTAAGTCCTCGTCACACCCCCTGACCTGCCTCCTGCTGTCCCGACAGTGCGAGGCTTCCATGGGTCTTGAGACTTCGTGTCCTTATTGTGGGGAGAAGAGAAAGGAGGAGGAAGAAAGAAATCTGACTTGGGCTTTGCTTTTCTGTTGCCCAGAAAAGGGCCTCCAGGACAGGTGCTGACGGGGGCCCACTGTCAGGTTTTCTGTCTAAGGTTACACGCTGGCACCCCGGCATGTGCGTGGGTCTCCGTCCTGCACACACCCTGACGGTGTCTGCCCACAGCGCTGTGGGCTGGGCTCTGCGTGCAAAGCACACGCACCCCCACCCGTCTCAGCTCAGACCTCTCCGCGTAGCCCCAGAGGGGTAAAGTGCGGTGTCCGTGCCTGGGCTCCCGCGGAGCCGCCTGCAGCCCAGTGCGCGGCCTGCCTGTCATTTCAAGGGGACCGATGTCACGGTTTCTGGCAGTGATTGGGTTTGGACACGTTTTCCTGAGGGAAAAGGAGCGTCGCAAGTGTAGATTCGACTTCTACACAAATTCCTGTCCTCTCCGCAGCTGAGTTTGTTCTGCAGTGGATGGATGTCGGCCTGTCCTCAGAATTCCTCCTGGTGCTGGTGAACTTGGTCAAATTCAACAGCTGTTACCTTGATGAACACATCGCGTCGATGGTTCAGTAAGAAGAGGATTTAAATTGTGCTAGTCTGGCGACAGTCCGCCGTCTCGGGCCTTAAGCTCTGCTCTGCAGGTTGAGTTGAAACCCCCAAATAAGTAGGGAAGTTGGAAGTGGACATAGCCACCCTCCACTCGTCACGTTACCTGATGTTTTGGTCATTATCTTTTTGTTGTTATTTTTTTAAAACGTTCCATGAAATCCCTGAGGGCAGGGGCTTGGCCTGGTGCCGAGCACCCCGCACTGAGGACGGCAGGTGGCACAGAGCACGTTCCCTGCATTTGCCGGGCAAGTGGAACCCTGAGGAGGGACGAGCCACTCCTGCGGCTGACTGCAGAGTGACTAAGGGCCGAAACGTAGTTGCTTGGCCTTCTGGGAAATGTCTCCGAGCTAACGCTGGCGCTTCCTCCACAGCATGGTCTGTCTGCTGTGCATCCGGACTGTGTCCTCCATGGACATAGAGGTCAGTGGCCCCCCTCGTTTCTGGGAAGCTGGCACTTGGGGTTCAAGCCCTGGGAGCCACTCGTTGGCTGTGTGGCCTCGGGCATCTCCGCTGGAAGTACAGGCAGTTGGATGGGCCCCGCTCTAGAGTTGTAGCTCAGGAGGGGACAACGTGGTGTCAGCCTTGGTGACAGGGATGTTGGAGTGCCTCCCAGACACTCGCTCTGTGGTTCTTAGGCTGCTTTGGCAGCAGGGAGGGGCAGTGTCACTGACCAAATGAGGAGGGAAGGAGGCCTGGGGTGTCACCTCCGCGGGAGCCCAGGGAGGACCGGCGTGACCCCTCCGTTTCTCCCGCCAGGTCTCGCTGCAGGTGCTGGATGCCGTGGTCTGCTACAACTGCCTGCCAGCCGAGAGCCTCCCGCTGTTCATCGTCACCCTCTGCCGCACCATCAACGTCAAGGAGCTCTGTGAGCCTTGCTGGAAGGTGGGGGTCTCTGAAACTGTTGTTCTGGAGAGTTCTTCCCCAGGATGAGGTCATAAGCCAGGGACACAGACGAGACAAGGGCCAGCCTGTCTCCATGAATGGCTCTCTGATTCTTGGGGTGGCCAGACAATGGCCTGCTGAGGAAAGTCCAGTGGCATTTTCCCAGGCGGTGGAGCCAAGGTCAGGTTCGGGTGTGTTGTGAGAACTCTGCTGCCTCTGCATTTGGGAAGAGACAGTGGCCGCTGGCTGGACCTAGGGCGGCTGCAGAGCACTGGCCGGGCAGGGCTGGTGGGGGGCTGGGCTTTGGGGCAGAGGCTTGTATTTGCCGGTCCCTAATGATGTGTTTTTTTTTTTTTTTTTTTTTTTTTTTGGGAGACAGAGTCTCACTCTGTTGCCCTGGCTAGAGTGAGTGCCGTGGCGTCAGCCTAGCTCACAGCAACCTCAAACTCCTGGGCTCAAGCGATCCTCCTGCCCCAGCCTCCCGAGTAGCTGGGACTACAGGCATGCGCCACCATGCCCAGCTAATTTTTTCTATATGTTTTTAGTTGGCCGATTAATTTCTTTCTAATTTTAGTAGAGGCGGGATCTCGCTCTTGCTCAGGCTGGTCTTGAACTCCTGAGCTCAAACAATCCGCCTGCCTCGGCCTCCCAGAGAGCTAGGATTACAGGCGTGAGCTGCCGCGCCCGGCCAACGATGTGCTTTTTGTCTCCCAGCTGATGCGTAACCTCCTGGGCACCCACCTTGGCCACAGCGCCATCTACAACATGTGTCGCGTCATGGAGGACAGGCGAGTGCACGGGCTGGGCGGTGGGCACGGGGAGCCGGCCTGAGTCCCCACCAGAAAGCCCTCGGGAGGAGGCCCGCCTCAACTCACTTGGAGATCTGCTCCTTCCTGATGGCTCTTCCAGAAGCTGTCACTAAGGCTAGGCATTTATTTCACACGTGGGATCTCTTGTCCTCTCCTTCTGTCGGTCGAATCAGAACATCCAAAATGAACTCGGAGCCCGCCTCCCTATGTCTGGATGTTCTCCAGTGTGGCGGGGTGTTAGCCCAGATGCCACCCTGGTCTCCACCCCCACAGCCAAAGCACAAGTCCTGCTGCCACTGCCCGACGGATGGCTCAGATCTGCATGTGCTGGTCTCCCAGCCATACCCTTGGCCCTCACCTTCTCTCCTGCTTCCGTTCTTGCTTCCTGAAGTACATTCCTCCACACAACAGCTAGGTGGCCTTGTTCTGACACAGATCCGACCGTGTCACCCCTTGCCTAAAGCCACCATAGCTCCCAGCACGCTCAGACACTGCCCCTCCCTGTGGAGCATGGCCCTGGGGGTCCCAGCTGCTTCAGCCCCCTCGGCCTCTTGTTCCCTCCATCTTACTCTTCTCCCACCCACCAAAGGCCTTTGCACACACCGTTGCCTCTTGCTAGAAGGTTCTTCTGCCTTTGTCAGGTTACTCTGAGTGTTCCCTGAGGTCTTAGCATAGTCGGTGATTCTCTGGCTTCCCTGAGTGGACTTGCTCTCCGATCCTGTGGCTTCCTTCTTAGCTGTGATTTGAGGTGGAGACTCTGCACTTACTTGTGAGGGTCTTTGACTGGCGTCTGCATCCCTCGAGTGTGAGCCTGTGAGGCTGAGCGACGTCCCTCTTGCCCCCCTTCAAGTCCCTGGCATCTAGCACAGCCCGTGGCCCACGGTGTGGTCAACGCTCACTAGTTGTACGTGAACGAATCGGGTGGTTACTGCAGCCTCTGTTCCTGCCCTTCCCCGGCTTCGCTTCTCCGTGGTGCTGGGCCCTGCAGCCTCCCATGGCTGGGGCTCTGCTCACGTGCCGTCCATGTGGGAAATGTTTCAGAGCCTACATGGAAGACGCCCCGCTGCTGAGAGGAGCCGTGTTCTTCGTGGGCATGGCTCTCTGGGGGGCCCACCGGCTGTACTCGCTCAAGAACTCTCCGACTTCTGTGCTGCCCTCGTTTTATCAGGTAACGCGGTATCCATGCCACGGGACCTGGCGCAGGTGGGAGAGCTCCCCTCGGGCTGCCCACCCGCCTGCGCCGCCAGGGGCTATACGGTGCTGTCACCAGTCAGCTGCTTCTCAGCTGGCGACGAGATTTAGGTCCGTTCGAGGGCTTTATTCTCAAGCAAACCTCACATCTTAGGGATTTCATCCCCTGCAGATTAGCACTGAAACCGCTTAACGTTCCCTCTGGGACAGCGAGTCTTCCCGTTGATGGTTGTAGCTTGTCAAGTGGCGATCTTGCTCCCTCTCGAGCGATGCCAGCGGCTAGCTGCGGTTGCCACGGCGCCCTGCGGCGTCCAGAGCACGTTCTGTGTGTGTTCTCATTTGGTTCTCAGGGCTCCCTGGCGAGCGGGGGCGGTTGTAACGTCCTCATTTTACAGGGAACAGTGGCTCTCTAGCTGTGCCTTGCCCCGGGTCACGCGGAACCTCCCAACCCGCTGCTCTTTCTGCTGCGCCCCTGCTCCCCGGGAGGGGCCGTGGGAGGCGCGATCTCTGTGCATTGCCCGTGTCAGAACTCGGGTGGTAGCTTCAGGCTCCGCGGTGCCGACATGCTAGGGGCCTGGAATTCAGTTTCTGGTCTGTCCGAGTCGGCCCCTTTGGAGGCTCTGGGGCCCTGTCTGGGTCCTTACCGCGCTGGAGCAGCGCGGACTCCTTGCCGGCTCTCCCGGGGCCGCGGTGCATGTGTGCCGAGCGCTGCTCAGTCATCTTGCGCTCGGTCCGAGGGCACGTGCTGGTGCTTCCTGCATGAGGAGCAGCCGCTGACCGTGCCCGGCTCGTGTTCCAGGCCATGACCTGCCCGAACGAGGTGGTGTCCTACGAGATCGTCCTGTCCATCACCAGGCTCATCAAGAAGTACAGGAAGGAGCTCCAGGCCGTGACATGGGACATTCTGCTGAACATCATGGAACGGCTGCTTCAGCAGCTCCAGGTAGGCAGGCTCGTCCCACCGGAAGGTGGAGTGCTCTCTGTCTGTGCCTGTCCTGGGTCCCACAGAGACTTTGGAGCTGTGTCTTCTTGGTTCTCGGTGTTGCCAGTGCGTCTTCTGCTGAAGACAGGTCTGGTTTCTCCAGACATGCTCTACTGTCGTTGTGGCCCCGGGGGAATGTGTGGAGCTGTGCAGGGGCTGGGCCTGTGTCGCCCAAGGTCCACAGAGTGACACTGCAGGCCGCCCCACGGCCTGAGTGCGCCCTGAAGACAGTTCCCAGAGGACCTGGGATGCTGCTGCCGCTTTGGCGTGACATTGGAGGAGGACGGCGTGGCCGAGTCTGTGAACCACAGCACTACGGAGGGTCCACGGCCACACGCACATGCCCATCGGCACAGGGGCCTGGGGGGACGAGGCCAGCCACCAGCACGGGCTCAGGCCTAGGCCTTCTCTCAGAGGCCTGGGGTGGGTGACATTGAGGCCGCCAAGGTGGGAAGGATGGGCTGGGACTCAGCAGGGACTGAAGTCTCACTTTCTTAGGGCTGGGTGCTGGGCCGGACCGTTGCCACTGAGCGCTGGCCAGGTGGCGCTTCAGCCTGGAGTGGCAGGGCAGCGGCCATGCCCCAGGGCCTCTAAGAGATGCTGGAGCCTGGAGAGGTGTGGCAGGGCTTGTCGTAGCTGCAGCCACCCTCAGCCTCCTGCCCACGCCTTCTCCTGGGCCTGGCCACATGGGCACAGCCAGGACTCCCTGGGGACGGGGACAGGCAGGAGTAGGCGGCTGCCCACATGGTCCAGCGTGGCCCAGTGGGAGGGCCTGAGGGGGTGTTGGGACGCAGCCTGTCTGGAGCCGAGTGCTCGGGGAGGGGAGGTCAACCTGTGTCACGTACCTCGGTGCTACAGTGCCTGGACAGCCCAGAGCTCAGGACCATCGTCCATGACTTGCTGACCACGGTGGAGGAGCTGTGCGATCAGAACGAGTTCCACGGCTCCCAGGAGAGATACTTCGAGCTGGTAGAGAGATGTGCGGACCAGAGGCCTGTAAGACGCCCCTCCCGGGTGGGGCCTTTGGTGCCCAGGCCTGTGGGGTGGTTTCTGTCAGGCTGCGGGCAGGGGCCGGGACACTGGGGGCCAAGGGCCTTGGCTGCAGGAGTGAGCCCCGTTTCTGGAGTGTTTGAAGGGAAGGGCTGGGCAGGCTCCTGCTCTCGCGGTTCTGGGCTCCAACAGGGACAGCTGCCAGGGCGGCAGCAGGCTGGATGTGTGTGGGTCTGTTGAACTGCTCAGCGTGAGCCGAACCGTCAACTTCCTCCCACCTGCGCGGGGGAGAGTTCCGGGCCGGCTCCAGGGAGCCTTCTTGCTCCCCGAAGGCAGCAGCCGCTTTGGCAGGAACACTCTGCTTGAGGCGAGGCGTTTCCTGGGGTTTCTACCAGTTTCCCCACTGCCAGGCGCACCTGTGTGCACATGGGCTCCCCACCTGGGCCTCAGGTGGCCGCTCTCCCTGAGCAGACTCCTCCCGGGTCGCAGCGCGGTGGCCTGTGTTGATAGGAAAACCTCCAAGAGGTTAGAGCGGCTCACTGACTCCAGCTTTTTCTTTTTTCGACAGGAGTCCTCTCTCTTAAACTTAATATCCTACAGAGCTCAGTCAATTCACCCGGCAAAGGACGGCTGGATTCAGAACCTGCAGCTGCTGATGGAGAGATTCTTCAGGTAGCGGGCCCTGGGGCCCCTGTGTGGCATCTGGAGCCTGAGCCTGTGTCTGCTATCTGGGACTGCCTGCGCCTGCTCTCAGGACACCCAAGGAGCCAGGGCATTCCTTTCTGATTCTCGAAAGGAGCAGTTCTCAGCAGGGAAAGGTGTTTTCCAGCAGGACAGGGTCTTGCTCCTTCCTGCGTGGTGCTTTTCTGGAAAGACGGAGTCCCAAAAGGCAGAGCTCACTGCCCCTTTGCCCTGGGGTCAGGCTTGCCTGTGGATGGGCCCGGTGAGGGTGGCAGGCGTGCTACAGCCAGCCTCACCCGGCTCTCCCCGCAGGAGCGAGTCCCGCGGCGCCGTGCGCATCAAGGCGCTGGACGTGCTCTCCTTTGTGCTGCTCATCAACAGGCAGTTCTACGAGGTGCGTGTCCACAGCTGCGGTGTCTGGTGGGGCAACAGGCCAGGGGGCCTCCAGGAGCTGGGCCCCACATGCCGCCTGGGCTCTCCTTGCTGTGCGCGCTCCAGCAGCCTAGACTCTGCCTGCGACTTGCGGTCCAGCCAGCACCCTCCGCGGCAGGCTTGCAGCCAGCTCTGTCTGTTTCTTCCCTGTTCGCTCCTTTATTCATCCTGGGGTGCCCTTGCCAGGGCTGCACGCGGCCAGGCTCTGCCCTTGCCAGAGACGTGGCCAAGTAGCCGGGAGCGCAGGGTTCCTGCCTGTAGGATGGCTATTCCGAACGCGGGAACGCCCAGAGAATTCTGTCCCGTGTTTAGGCCAGTCTCACTTGAGGACGTTTCTTTTTGTAATCGCATTTACCCTCCACAGCCCGCCCTCACCAGCTGCTGGGGGTCACCCAGGTCTCTTCACTGCCGGCATCCTCTCCATCCTCTGGGGTTTGTGACCACGGTCCTTCCCTGCTTGAAAGACAGCAGGGTGTCCCTGTGGCTGTGCCTTTTCTTCCAGGGGATGTGGCTCAGGCTCTGAGGCCCCCTCTTGCCACACACCTAGCCTTCAGCTGGCTCTTTCCTGGGTGGCCTCTGCCTGTTCTGCCCATCTGTCCCCCACTCCTGTGAAGCTGAGCTTAACGCTTCTTCCAGGAAGTCCCTCTGGGTCCCCCAGTCCTCATCAGGGCTGGTCTTGTCCCGCTGTTTGCTCCTGTGGCATTTTTACCTGCCTCTGTGAAAGCTCTCATCACAGCATCCCCAATACGGTAGGTTTATGACTTCAGGGTTCTCCCCACCCTCAGCCCTGCACACAGCAGGTGTCCGTAGTCATGATGGGGGGGTGACAAAAGCAAGCCAGGGACGTTGCCTGGCTGCACCACGTCGGAGCCCGTGGCCGTGCCTGTGCCAGGCCGTCGTGTAGCCCTCACTGTCCTTCTGAACCAAGGGGTTGGACAGGCTGCCCTAGGCAAGGGCCCGGGGGGCTCTGAGGGCTCAGCAGGCCCCATACGCCCCTGCCCGGCTTCCCTCAGGTCTCCCTGACACCGCAGCTCTTTCCTGGTTGGCATCAGAGGAATTCAGGTGTCAGTGACACGTGCCCCTTGCCGGGCTGGTGGCTCACCTTGCTCTGGCTTGTGCCCAGCACAGGAGGAGCTGATCAACTCAGTGGTCATCTCACAGCTGTCCCACATCCCTGAGGACAAAGACCACCAGGTCCGGAAGCTGGCCACCCAGCTGCTGGTGGACCTGGCGGAAGGCTGCCACACGCACCACTTCAACAGTCTGCTGGACATCATCGAGAGGGTGAGCGCCGCCGGGGCCCGGGGCTGGGTGCCAGAGGGGACGCTTCTTTGTGGCAGACCCCTCTGGGCAGAAACGGCCTCCAGACCCTCTGTCCCTATTCTCAGAGCAGCTGGGCGGCTGCCTCTGCAGGCAGGGCTTCTCTCCCAGCAAAGATGGGTGGTGTCAGGAGGTGCGTGCGGGGCCTCCGCCTGGAGGTCTTTGGGAACAGGTGTCGTGTTGCTGCTCCTTGGTAGCCGGGAACTGGATACGGGTCTGGGCTGTGGTCCACACTGCACGGCCTGCAGCTTTTCCTTTTAACTGTGAAGTGCATTTCGGTTTCTGAGCAGTCACTCAAGGCGTGAAGTGCGTCTTTCCTTGTGAGACGTGAGGGAGAAGGCAGCTGTGGGAGAGTGTGTTCCATCTGACAGCTGCTGCCACAGAGCAGGGAGCAGAGTCTTAGCCCGTCCTCTCTTTAAAGGTCACGGCCCGCTCGCTCTCGCCACCGCCCGAGCTGGAGGAGAGGGATGTGGCCGCGTACTCAGCGTCCTTGGAGGACGTGAAGACCGCCGTGCTGGGGCTCCTGGTCATCCTTCAGGTGGGCGCCCTGTGTGGGTGGGCCTCCTGGGAGGGCGTGGGGACAGCGCTCGTCCCCCAGCTGTGTCTTGTTGGAGTCCGCTCCGCAGGGCTGTCTCTCCTGGCGTTGCAGAGGGTGTTGGGCGACAGCAGGGATGAGGTGGGTCAGCGGCACCTGACCAGAGCTGGCTTTGCAGAGACGTTCCTGAGTCAGGGCCAGAGCCACGTCCCGTCCTCAGTGCAGGGCTTCCCCTGGCTCCGGCCACGCGTCCGAGGTGGGAAAGATGGTGTCCGTCGCGCCCCACGACGGGGTGGGGTACTTGCGTCGTGATGTCATTCGGATACTGCGCAGCTCACCTGTTCACGGCGAACGGTCCAGTGGTTGTCAGTGTGTTCACAGAGCTCTGCAGCCGTCGCCGGTCAACGCTAGAGCGTCTGCGCCCTTCCCAGAGAGACCCGCACCTGCAGCCCTCACTGCCCCCACCCCATCGCTCCCCGCCCCAGGCAACCCCCCGGTCCTCTTCCGGTCTCTGTGGATTTGCCTGTCCTGGACATTTCATAGAAACGGACTCATGTAGTATGTGACCTTTTGTGTCTGTGTTGTTTCAACCAGAATAACGTTTTCCAGAGTCACCCGTGCTGTAGCAGGTGTCAGTGCGTCACTCCTTTCCATGGCTGGATGACGCTCGATTGCACGGATGGCCCACATTTTGTTGATGCATCCGTCCGCTGATGGACTTGTGGGCTGTTTCCACCTTTTGGCTGTTGTGAACAATGCCGCCGTGAACGTCCTTGCAGCGTCTGTGTGGGCTCAAGTGTTGGTTCCTCGTGGGTCTGCGCTGAGGCGTGGAGTTGCCGGGTGTCTCGGGCGTCTGCGTGCGACGTTGTGAGGAGCTGCCGGGCTGTTCTCTGCAGAGCGGCGCCATCGCTTGCACCCTCACTGGCCGTGTGTGGGGTTCTGGTTTCTCCACCAGAGAGAAATTGTTCTCCATGGCATTTATTTTTTTTTTTTTCTTTTTTGAGACAGAGTCTCACTCTGTCACCTGGGCTAGAGTGCGGTAACATCATCGTAGCTCACCGCAACCTCCAACTCTGGGGCTCAAGCGATCCTCCTGCCTCAGCCTCCTGAATAGCCGAGACTACAGGCAAGGGCCACCACACCTGGCTAATTTAGTCTCGCTCTTGCTCAGGCAGATCTCGAACTCCTCACCTCAAGAGATCCTCCCGCCTTGGCCTCCCAGAGTGCCGGGATCATAGATGTGAGCCACTGCGGCCGGCCTATTTTCTGTCTCCTTGACTGTAACCCTCCTAGTGGGTGTCTCACTGTGGTTTTGGTTTTTGTTTCTCTGATGACTGACAATGTTGAGCATCTTTTTTTGTGCTGTTGGCCATTTGTGAGTCTTTGGAGAAATGACTGTTCAGATCCCTTGCCCAGCATTTCACTAGGTCATTTGTCTTTTTATCATTAAGTCACGAGAGTTCTCCACGGGTCAGGTGGGTGACTTGCAGGTGTTCTCTGTCTCCAGTGGTGTTCCAGCATCATGCTCAGGTACTCCGGGGCACCACCGGCTGGCTCGGGGGGTTTCTGGTGCCACATCCCCTCACCTCCCGCATTGCCTCTTCCTCGGGTGGCAGTTGGCCTCTTCTCTTGGCCACCGCATCCTGGTCACTGATTTTCAAAGCCTCACAGTGTCACTTGCGTGCGATTGCCAGTGTCGGTATTTTGTAAACTGTAATATTTGAATCAGTTTGCTGAAAAACTTCCAGTTTGTAAAATGTCGCACGGTGGGACAATTTCCTATAATGTTTGTATGTGATGGATTTTTATTTCCTGTCATGGAAGTTCAAAGTGACACTTGATAAAAGCCAGACAGCACGTCCTCGGTGTCTCACCCACCAGAGCCCCGTGTGCTTTGCTGCCCTGACTTGTTGGGAAGGGTCGTGCCGGGCTGTGGGCCGTGGCCTGCAGGAGCTGGGAACCTTCTGCTCCCGCGGAGGTGGGGAGAGATGCTCCCTCGGCCTTACTTGGAAACGCAGCCCTGGAGCTGGGGGACCAGGGCCACAGAACTGGACTATGTCCTAGTTGAGGCAAGGTCCTGGGCCTGGCTCTTTGCATTTCTTTGTTTATAATTAAAAAATGATGCATTTCACCCTTGAACAACACAGGTTAGGGGTGTCAATCTCTTTTGCAGTTGAAAACCTGCATCTAAGTTTTGACTCCCCCAAAACTTTACTGACAGCTTACTGTCGACTGGAAGCCTTACGGATAAGAAACAGTCCGTTAGCACATGCCGTGTGTTGTGCGTGTGACATGCTGTGCTCTCACGATAAAGTAAGACCAGGAAAGCAAATGTTAAGAAAATCACAAGGAAGAGAAAATGTGTGTGCTATTCATAAAGTGGAAGTGGATCGTCATAAAGGCCTTCATCCTCATCATCTTCACGTTGAGTAGGCTGAGGAAGAGGAGGAGGCAGAGGCGGGAGAAAATCCACGGATACGTGGACCCACATAGTTCGAGCCTGTGTTCGGGGTCGACTGTGCTGGCTGACGATGCGTGACAGTGGAGAGTTAGCGGCCCAAATGCCGTGAAAAGTCCGCTTCCCTCCTTCCTTCCCAACCAGAGGGCCCTGAGGAGCAGTAGCTGCTCCGGGTCCCCGTGTACCCTTCCTGGAGTGGCCTGTGTGCTCCCACGCACTGTGTCCAACCCTCATCCCACCGTTTTCTTGCCCAAGGCAGGGATGATGTTTTCATATTGTGATTTTTGAGACAAGGAAAAATAGCTTTTTTTCTTTAAAATGAATAGCAGGAATGAAGTTTTTTAAGCATCACTACTTACCTCCAGGGTGCAGAGTACCACAGGGGTCCCTGGGGCTGCGGCTGGGTCCCTCCTGCCTCTCCCTGGCTTGGCCCTACAGCCCCCAGTCCCCCCGCTAGTCCCCTGCAAGGTTGCTGGCAGCACTGAGGGATCTCGCCATGGCCTCACCTGTTGGGGAGATGCCCTTGGCCTTGGAAGGATGGGGGCGTGAGGACTCCTGCGGGGATGGCAGCCCACACCTGGGGAACCGTGCCCTGCCCCCCCGCCTCGAGCTTGCTTTCCGCACGTGTGCACTTGGTTTAGGCTGTTGCTATGTAGCGTTCCACTGGGCCGATTTTCCTAGTTTATTGATCATTCCGTGCTGATGAGATGGGCATGGTGTTGTTTTTGGTTTTTTGCTGTTATGGAGAGAGGAAGCCTTCGGGGTGGGATTGGTGGGTGAGGAGGTGGACTTGGTGGGCGAGAAGGTGGTGCCTTGAGGAGCTTGGAAGACGCTGCCAGTGCCTTCCAGAGAGGCCTCCCTGGGCATTCCCCTCCCCGGGCACAGGTTCCGTCTCCCCGGCTGGCCTCTGCCGCCCTCCCTGTGGTGATCAGGCCCCTTCCTGCAGACCAAGCTGTACACCCTGCCCGCCAGCCACGCCGTGCGTGTGTACAAGACGCTTGTCAGCCACGTCCAGCAGCACTACAAGCACAGTTACACGCTGCCCATCGCCAGCAGCATCCGGCTACAGGTGCGCCGGCCATGGGGGCGGTGGCTTCCCTGGGGGGCGCAGCGAGCTGCCTCAGTCTTGGTGGATGTGGTGCCGGCAAGCTGGATAGGCTGCAAGTGACCCGGGGAGGGGCCTTCAGCAGACTGTCCCCTCCCGAGGACCTGCTGCCCTTTCCTCTGCCCGCAGCTCATGTGCCTCCGTGGCTTGTCACTGAGGCCCATGGTGGCCTGGGTTGGGGGAAGGGAAGGAAGCACGTGGACTTCCGGGGTGGCACATGCCCCTCGGCTCCTGGTCTGCGGAACCTGCCAGAGACCCACAGCAGAAGGCCAGGAGCGCAGGGCGGGGCACGCTGCTCTGGTGGCACCAGGCTGAACAGAGTTCACGGATGGAAGCCCCGGCCCCTCCAGGGCTTCCGCTCTGTGCAGCGGCCCCTGTCGTTTGCAGAGCCCAGTTCCGTCTGTAGCTGGAGGAAGTGACAGGCCCTGCGCAGAACTCTGCTTTCTGGCATTTGGGTCTGTGTCTTGCTGCCAGAGGAGCGAGGTGCCCGTCCCCTCCGTCCTGGTGCAGGCCCACTGCTGTGGGGCTGTCGGGGCTCCGTGGGCTCGGAGGGAGGAGGCTGTGGTTGCCCACCTGGGAGTTAGACCCCTGGTGTTGCCAGCACAGAACCCAGGGTCTGTGTGGGGAAGTTGGGGCCTGCTCACGTTAGCAGGTGGCCTTTCCCAGCGCTGCACGGTGTTGGGCACACGGGTCTGAGCCCTGGTGTCACCGCCTGCCCTGGGCCAGGCATGTTCCTGGCTCTGTGGGATTTTAAGGTTCTCTTCTGTACAGGCCTTCGACTTCCTGATGCTGCTGCGGGCTGACTCGCTGCACCGCCTCGGCCTGCCCAACAAGGATGGGGTCGTGAGATTCAGCCCCTACTGCCTCTGCGACTACATGTGCGTGGCTGGTGGCTCTGCCCGGTGCCTGTGAGGCTCAAGGGGCGTCAGGTTCACCGGGGCCAGTCGCGGAGCTGGGTGCTCTCCGCCCTTCCCCAGGGTGGGTGTGTACCTGAGGGGTGGTCTCCGAAGCGGCTGGGGCCGGCAGCGACCATGTCTGTTCTGACCCTGCAGGGCCCTTGAGGGGACTCGACCTCAGCTGCTTCTCTCACTTACTTCTGCAGGGAGCCTGAGAGAGGCTCTGAGAAGAAGGCCAGTGGCCCCCTGTCACCTCCCACTGGGCCGCCCGGCCCTGCGCCTGCCGGCCCCGCCGTGCGGCTGGGCTACCTGCCCTACTCCCTGCTCTTCTGCGTCCTGCTGCAGTGTTTGAAGCAGGTGAGGGGGCCCGCGTCTCAAGCTCCGTTAGGTCACACTGAGCCCTGATCGGTGCTGCCCGAGGGCATCGGCTTCTTGGAACAAACACCGTTGCTGCCGCTTACACCGGCGACCGGGGGAGCTGTGCTGCTCATTTCCAGGTGGTTTGCCCCGAGGATCCACAGCAGCTCTGTAGCTGCATTAAGCACCTGCTGTGTGCAGCCCCTGGCGTGGAGCTGAGAAGGCATTCCTGCCTCTGCAGAGTGGCTTCGGCAGGAAGACTCAAACGTGTGGGCAAATACCTGTGACCGTAGGCCAGGGTGTGCCTCCTACGCAGGGGCAGGGCGCACATAGGCTGTGTGGCCCGGAAGGGGGTGGCATTCTGTCTCGTTGGACCACCTGCTGGGACAAGTGAGGTTAGTCTTGAAAGGTGGGGAAGGTTCCAGGGCAGGAGTGAGCAAAGCCCAGAGGCAGGGTAGGTGCAGGGTGGGGCAGCAGGAGGCAGGCAGGGCCCAGGCTGGCAGGGTCGGGGTCAGCAGTGGGTGAGGGCGAGGCCTTGGGCGGGAGGCAGGGCTGGGGTCTCTGGGCACACGTGGTATTGGCGCGAAGGGGCAGACAGACCTCCCAGGAGTCTCCGAATCTCAGCTCTGTGTGTTGGGTGCAGTCCGTGGAGAGCTTTTAGGACTCAAGCCGTTGGCTTGGCTCTGGGCAGGGGCTGCTCTCTACCGGGGACACGTCTGGGTGGCGATCTGCTCTGGAGGCCACGGCTTGCATCTGTCCCGTTGCCGTGGCCTCGAGTCGACCTTGGTTCTAGAGCAGGTATCTGGGCTTGTGTGTTGTCGAAGAAGTACTTGCTGCTGTTTCCTTTCCAGCTGTTACATTAATAATAGCTTTTTCCTGCTGCATCTTCATTTCAGCAGAAGAAATTCAGCCGGTGCTCTGGGTGGGCAGCTGTAGGCAGCCCTTGGGTGTGGTGCAGGTGGCAGGTGGTTACTAGGTCACCACTGAGGGAATGAGGGGAGGTCGGGCTGCATGTGGCAGCCCAGAGTTGGGCTAAGAAGAGGGAGGTGGCATCGGCTGCCTGCTGGGCCCCCGCCGGGCCCGGCCTTTGGAGGCAGCCGCCCATGTCCAGGGTGAACCTTGATCAGCGTCCGCTCCTGCAGTTGCAGGGACAGAGACCCGGGGTGCCCCGTCCCCCTGTACTGATCCCACAAGGATCCAGAGGCCTTGTGGCCACAAACGCCAAACGTCCCTCTTCTGTCCCCAGGGTCCAGAAGGCCCCGTCCTCCCTCTGACCTCCTTCTGCTTCCAGGAGACCGACTGGAAGGTGCTGAAGCTGGTCCTCAGCAAGCTGCCTGAGTCCCTGCGCTACAAGGTCCTCATCTTCACCTCTCCCTGCAGTGTCGACCAGCTGTCTTCCGCCCTCTGCGCCATGGTAATGCCCAGCAGAGGCTGCTGGGGTGGGTCACAAATGCACCAGGGACCCCTCCCCTCCCACTCCCAGCACGTGGGACAGAAATTGATGGTCTCCAATCAGGGGCACGTCACTGAGTGTGCCATCCCTGTCTGCCCTCGTCCTGATGCGCTCACGTGACATTCGCGTCGAGTCCCCTGTCTGCCTCTCTCTGGGGCGTCACTAGGTGGGCGCTCTCCCTTTCCCTGGAAAGGCAGACCCTTACCAGAACGGAGGTGGGAAGGCCTCCAGGACTCTGGACCCTCCTTTCCTGGGCCTCCCCAGCACTCTCGGGCCGCTGGGCGACCACGTCTGGGTCTTGGTCTTTAGCTTTCAGGCCCAAAGACCCTTGAGAGGCTCCGAGGCACCCCGGAAGGGTTCTCTAGAACCGACCTGCATTTGGCGGTGGTTCCGGTGCTGACAGCGTTAATCTCTTACCATAACTACCTGGACAAAAGCAAACAGGTATGAGATGGTAGAAGGACAGGTGCGCTGTACCTGGGGTTTGGAAGCCTGTCCCCTGAGCCACAGGAGGCAGCATTTTTTCATAGACCGGCTGATAAGCCGTTGGGTGTGAGCTGGCTTTGCTCCCCTATGCAGCTGCTGGGCCCCTGCCGGTCAGCCCAGCAGGAGCTGTGGGTGTCTGCACCCCCGAGGCTTCTGAGTTCTCCTTGGGCATCTGGGCTTTAACTCAGCCCTTGACTGTGCCTCTCTCCTCACCACCCATGCAGCTCTGGGGTAGGTGGCCAGGCTGGCTGGCCGAGCTGGGCTGGTTTTGAGACACAGGGTGGGCGTTGGGCCCAGGTCCCTGGTGCTCATCTCCCTCTGCCAGGTGCAGAAAGCGCACAGAGATCTCTTCCCTTTACCCCGAGCGGCTGCCGTCACTCTTGATGTCGCCTTTCAACAGCTCTGGCCGCTCCCCTCGTCGATGGGGAACTGAAGTCTTAGGTTAGGCGCCCACTGAAGGTCTCAGCCAGCCAGGAGCGGGGCTGAGACTCAGGCTTGAGCCTGTCTTTGCCGTGAAACCTGGCTTCTGACAGTGGCAGTGCTAGAAGCTAAGGCTGGACTTCCCGTCCCTTGGGCCCCCACCTCAGGGGGCACACCAGGGTGGGCGAGGGCCTGGGGAGGTGCCTGGCACACCAAAGTGGCTGTCCCTGCCGGCGGTGCGTGGGGCCTGAGATGTCCTGTGTCCCGCAGCGCGAGATGGTGTACTGCCTGGAGCAAGGCCTCATCTTCCGCTGTGCCGGCCAGTGTGTGGTGGCCCTGTCCGTCTGCAGCGTGGAGATGCCTGACATCATCATAAAAGCGCTGCCTGTCCTGGTTGTGAAGCTCACACACATCTCGGCCACGGCCAGCATGGCTGTCCCGTTGCTGGAGTTCCTGTCCAGTGAGTGTGGGGCCCGGCCTATGTGTGCGTGCGTGTGTGGTAGATCCCTGAGCCTGGGACCGTGTCCTGCCTGCGACAGCCTCTGCCGACCTCTCTGACGTCTTGCGACTTCTCGGGCCTTCTTGGGAACCTGGGCCTTAGTGCCTCCTGCCCCTCGGCCTCGATAGCTCTCCTTCCTGGGCCCTGGGCCTGGCCTGGCTCCTCCCTTCCCTCAGAGCACATGCAGCACGGGGCCCCCCGGCTGCTCTGTGTTTGCCGTGCCCCTCTTGGGTCATGACTTTCAGGGGCTCAGAGTCCACCCGCCCCTTTCTCCCCACGCCCCAGTGCGCCTGGCCAGGAGCAGGCCGCGAGCGTCCAGACGGCAGAGAAGAGGGCTGGGTCAGCGCTTTGTGTAAAGGGCCGGGAGAGCATTTATTTTTTTGTGGGCCACACACGGGCTCTGTCACTTTGTCTTTTTATTTTGTTTACAACCCTTCAAAAATGCAAAACCCATTTGAAGCTTGGAGGTCACACAGATGCAGGCCACGGCTGGTTTGGCCCCTGTAACGGGGAGCCTCGGCCAGGCCTCGCGAGGTCACGTTTGGGGGCCACGGCCCTCCCTCCTTCGCAACAGCCCCTCCCCGGAGAGGCAGCGCTGGCTTTCAGAAATGCAGCAGAGGACCCTGGCGATGCCAGCCCTGCCGCGGCCATGGCCTGTCCTTGCTCGGCCGTCCTGGGTCCCCCTAACCCGCTGTCCCTGTGGCTGCAGCTCTGGCCAGGCTGCCGCACCTGTACAGGAACTTCGCCGCGGAGCAGTACGCGAGCGTGTTTGCCATCTCCCTGCCGTACACCAACCCCTCCAAGTAAGTGCTGGCGCCCTGGAGGCCCTGTCTCTCCCAGCCACGGCCCAGGCTGGGCCTCTCGGGGCAGAAAGCCACGGCGGCCTCCGTGCCCAGCATCAGCTGCGGTCCGGGCACCTCTGCCGTGCGCGTCCTGCCCAGGAACGTGTCCCGGTGCCGGGATGGAGCCAGCCCCTCTCGTCTCAGGTTCAACCAGTACATCGTGTGCCTGGCCCACCACGTCATAGCCATGTGGTTCATCAGGTGCCGCCTGCCCTTCCGGAAAGACTTCGTCCCTTTCATCACTAAGGTAGGCCTGGGGGCCAGTGGAGCGGGTCCCTAGTTAGGCCTGGGACCTGCTTTGCCCTCGGCTGTGTGTGGCTGGCCTGGGCTGCAGCGGGCAGAGAGAAGTGGGGTGTTGTTTGGTGCTGGGCTGGTGGCACCCGAGGCTCTGCTGGGGCCGGACTCGAAGCCGGTGTGGGGCGCGGAGCTGCCGCCTCGTCCTGGGCCCGCAGCAGGTCCCGGACCGCCGCCCCCATAGCCCCTCACGGCTCAGGTCTGCCCCACGCCGCCAGGGCCTGCGCTCCAACGTCCTCCTGTCTTTCGATGACACCCCTGAGAAGGACAGCTTCAGAGCACGGAGCACCAGTCTCAACGAGAGGCCCAAAAGGTACGGGGCCTGCTTGGGGCGTGCCCGGTGCCGGCACGGGGTAGGGCAGGACTCTGGGCTGTGACCTGGGACAGTGTGGTACGTGCAGGGCCTGGGCTGACCAGCTGCTCCCGGCCAGCGAGTGCAGATGGGTCCCGTGGCTGAGAGCGTCCCCACGCAGGCTGTGCCTGCGCCCAGGTGCCCTGGGGTCTGTGAGGCAGGGCAGGGCCTTCGACCGCTGCCAGCACCCCACGCTCCCTGGCCGAGCTGGCCCCCTGGGGCCTCGAGCGCAGATTGGTACAGTTGGGGGGTGGGGTGCTAGCTTCAGGCATCTGAGTGTGGGTCACACCAGGGCCATGGGGACTCCCAGCCTGTGTCCTGTGGCCCCTGTGGTGGGCCCGGCCTCCCAGGGGCTGCCCCTCTTCCTCCAGAGCTGCCCTCAGCTGTCACTCACCAGGGACACACCCTGCTTCACCATCACAGCTGCTTCTGCCAAACCTCAGGGAGGAGCTGAGCCCAGCTTCTGTGTTCTTGTTTGCGTGCCATTCGAACGGCTTCCCAGTGCTGTCCCCCCCGCCACGCTGTTCTGACTCTCCCCAGATGAGGAGACGGCATTTTCTAGCATGACCTAAACTCAGAAGCTGTTCTCTCAGGTCTTGGGGGCCGAGAGCTGAGCTCGGTCCTCAGTAGCCAGAGACTTGTTTCCGGCATTCCTGGTCGTTGACGTCAGAACTGGCCTCTTCCACAGGGACCCTCAGGGCCTGGCCACTGAGGCCCGAGCACCTCCCGGGTCCCAGGGCTGGGTGGCACCGGCCTTCTGCGGGGTGGGGCAGGGAGCCGGGTCAGCACAGCCTGGAATCTGTCATGTGGGGCGATCCACCGCGTTTAATTTGCACTGATGCTTTTTGTTTTGGTATCATGCGTGAAGCCTTTTTCTCAGCCGTGTTTACCAGATGTATTATTATGCATTTTGTTTTCTGTCTCTTCCCTTGCTAACTGTCCTTTGGCATGGCTCTTTTGCTCACCTCACCCGTGGGACCTCTCCATCCTGACCCTGTGGCCTGGGACCTTTCCTCCTCACCCCTCCAATGGCTTGTTCTCCCCTTCCCGGGAGCTGGGCTCTCTGGGGCTCGGGGCTTCCTTCCTCACCCGGTAGTTTGAGGATAGCCAGACCCCCCAAACAAGGCTTGAATAACTCTCCACCCGTGAAAGAGTCCAAGGAGAGCTGTGCATCCGAGGCCTTCCGGTGCCGCAGCATCAGTGTGTCTGACCATGCGGTGCACAGGTAGCGGGCTGTGGCGGGCGGGGGCACGGACCCGGAGATTGCCCCGTGAGCACCGGGTGGCGGTGCATGGGGCTGCTTGCATGACCTTGTTGCCGGCCGTGCCCTCCCTGGTCAGGGCAGAGGACAGCCTGGTGCCCGGCTCAGAAGCCCGGCGACGAGGGGTGGAAAGGTTGCATTCTGTCCCCGGGCCCTGTGGGAGCAGGGGTTGGCTGCACGGTGTCCTCGGAGGCTGGCCTGGGCGCCTGCTGGGGTGCTGCTTGTGACAGCTGGGCACCAGGCAGCCCCTGCAGTGTGTCCTGGAGGGCAGGGGCTTCCGCAAATTTAGGCAGCTCAGGGGAGATGCACTCTTCTGGGCTTGGGCTTCCTGTAGTCTCTGGAAGGGATTTTCTTCTGGGGCTTCCTTCTAGGAAAGGTCTGTTTGTGCTGTGGCTGACAGAGAAGAGGGGCTTTTGTGTAGGGCATTGGAGCAGGAGCCAGGACCCTCAGGGGTGGGCCTGGGCCCCAGGCCACAGCCGTGGCCACTTCTGGCTGTGTCTGGGAGCAGGTGTGGACTCTCAGGCACCAGCCTCTTGGCCATTGCCAGTCTGTGTGTTGTCCCTGCCAGCTCGGGTGGCACTCAGCAGAGGGGATCCCTGTCTCCTCCCACGGAAGCCCCTTCCAGGCCTGGCATCCTGCAGTGCCAGTGTCCACTCCTCACCTCAGTCTCTGTCGCCTGGCACCTGGCCACGGCTGGGGAGGGTGGAGGTGGCCGGTGAGGCTCTCCTCTCAGCCTTTGGCTAGCAACTTCCTTACCGTGAGCAAAGTATGGCAGAGGGGTTGTGACATGTCAGAATAAAACCTGCATAGCCCCTTCCCCTGCTCACTAGGGTGGGTGTGGAGCTCGGTGTGGCCCCATCTCACCTGCCCAGGTGTGAGGGTGAGAGCCACGCACGAAGCCCAGACCTTCCGTGTCCCTGCTGGGAGGCACCCTGGGGCAGAATGCAATCTGGGTCTGTCTGCTGTGGTCTCCATGTCTGCATGACTCCATCGCTCTGCCACGAGGCCACGGCCTAGCTCTCCCGTGTGCTTCCGTGAGAGGGACGTCCTGTCTCTTCAGCCTCCTAAATCTTGGCTTCGACCGGTGGCCCGGGGCTTTCCCATGAGGTGTCTCCCCTGCTCTCTGGGTTGACGTGGTCCACGTGACGTGCAGAGTTGCGGCTTGACCGGCCGTGGCGCCCTGGTGGGGTCTTTCTGAGCGAGGTCCTGTCAGCCGTGCATGTGTTGAGCTTTGGCCCCTTGGTGGTAGGTGGCAGGCCTGGCTCTGCCCGGTGCCCTAACCCTGGTCTCGGCTTCTCCCTCCAGCAGGATACAGACGTCCCTCACTAGCGCCAGCCTGGGGTCCGCAGATGAGAACTCCATGGCCCAGGCTGATGACAACCTGAAAAATCTCCACCTGGAGCTCACAGAAACGTGCCTGGACATGATGGCCCGATACGTGTTCTCCAACTTCACGGCGGTCCCCAAGAGGTACGAGCCTGTCGCTGCAGAGCCACAGCTGGGCGGGGCAGGAGGGACAGCTGTCCAGCTTTCCTTCTGTGGCTGCACCCTATCCACATGGCGGTGGCAAGTGGGCCAGGCAGGGCCTCCTTCCCGAGGCGGGCTGGGGCTGTGGCCGCTCTGGGCTCCCGAGGCTGGGGGGCCTCTGGGCGTCAGGATCCCCCATCTGGGCGCTATGGTGAAGTGGGCTGGAAGTGGACCCTCCTTTTGCTTTCAGGTCTCCTGTGGGGGAGTTCCTCCTGGCAGGCGGCAGGACCAAGACCTGGCTGGTTGGCAATAAGCTTGTCACCGTGACAACAAGCGTGGGAACTGGGACCCGGTCGTTGCTCGGCCTGGACTCGGGGGAGCTGCAGGCTGGCCCAGAGTCAAGGTGACTGCACCTTCCCTCCCTCGACACTGGCCTTCCTGCGTCCGGGCCGCATGGGACCCTGCCCTGCCGGCCTGGAGCCACAGGGGCCCTCGTTCACCCCACGCGCGGGCACTTCTGTTCTCAGCTCCGACCCCAGCGTGCTCATGACGCAGGCGAAAGAGGCGCCAGCCAAGCTGGAGTCCCAAGCCGGGCAGCAGGTGTCCCGTGGGGCCCGGGACCGGGTCCGCTCCATGTCGGGTGAGCTTCGGCCCCAGCCTGCCTCCCTCATGGGCGCCCAGGGCCCCCCGCTGGCTGCTTCTCTGTCAGTCTGTGTTCAGAAGGGCCCCTGGCCAGCTTCCTCGTAACTCCAGGGCAAGGTCTCCAGGCCGTGCTGGAGGTGTCAGGCCATGTGGCGGGCAGACCCTTCTGCACAGCTGAGGGCCTGTCCTCGGTGCTCGTGTTTCCTGGGAGCCCTCAGCAGCCCCAGTCCCCAGCCCAGCTCACCCCTGGGGTTTTCTCTGCTCCAGCTCAGATGAGCCATGGTGACCCTGGGACAGATCCCGGGCCCACTGAGGCCAGCACTGTTAGAGGTCTGTGCCCACGGAGGGGCCGCCACCTGCTCTGGCTCCCACTGGACCAACTGGGTGCTGCACAGCCTGCCAGGCCCCAGTGGAGCGGCCAGCTCCAGGCTGGCGGCTTTGCACTGGGCACATGGTGGTCACCAGCCCTTCCCCTCTCTTCCTCAGGGGGCCATGGTCTTCGTGTTGGTGCTCTGGATGTGCCGGCTGCCCACTTCCCGGGTGGCCCGGCTTCTCCAGGACCACAGACGGCATCAGCCTCAAAGCCTGAGAAGGCCTCAGCGGGGGCCCAGATTCCAACGCAGGAGAAGGCGACCCTGGCGGCCTGTGTGCCCCTGCTGACCCAGGGCTGGGCGGAGATCTTGGTCCGGAGGCCCACAGGTACTGGGGCAGCCCCGCACCCGCCTGCACCCCCGTCACTGAGCGGCCAGTGCAGGACACTCGCCCTCAGGGCTGCGGACACGAAGGAGGAAGCCACAGACTCGGCCCGCGGGGGAGTTTGGGAGGTGCCTTTTGGCGGAAGGTGTGCGAGGTGGGAGCCCGAACCGGTGAGCCACGGCCGCCGTGCGGAGCACCCAGACTCATGCTCCACAGCTCGGTCCTCCCGGTCTGCAGGCTGGAGGCCCACGGTCAAGGTGTCACAGGGCTGGCTCCTCCTGATGCCTTTTTCCTTGGCTCGTAGATGCCGTGTCCTCACGGGTCGTCCCTCTGTGTGTGTTCTCATCTCCTCTTCTTATGGGGACACCAGTCTTACTGGGTTAGAGCCCACCACAATGACCTCATTTAACCTTACTTACCTTTTTCAAGCCCAGTCTCCAAGTGAGGTGTTGGGGATAACACTCCGACGCATGGATTGTCGGGGCAGCGACCCAGCCCACTACAGGGCATCTCAGGCAAAGGGAGGACTCCGCTGAGGCCCGGAGCCCAGGAAGGGCTGTGGGCCTGGTGTGGGCCACGCAGTGGGAGGGTCGGGACTGGCTGAGAGGCTGTGGCAGAGGCTGCTACTCTGAGATGCCTCCCTCAGGCCTGGCCTCAGTGCAGGAGCTGATCTGGGGCCGCAGGGTGCCCAGCACCCGTCGCGGGTAGGTGACAGAGCAGTGCTGGCTCTGACCTCATGGTCCCGAGGGGTCTGGTTGGGAGCATCAGGGCCTGGCCCCACCTGCCCTCCTAGCCCGGGTGAGCTGTTGAGGATGGTGGACAGCGAGGGCCCCGAGGGGACAGCTGGCGGGGGCGTGGGCCTGAGATGCTGCTGCCCTGCCAGGGAACACCAGCTGGCTGATGAGCCTGGAGAACCCGCTCAGCCCCTTCTCCTCGGACATCAACAACATGCCCCTGCAGGAGCTGTCTAACGCCCTCATGGCGGCCGAGCGCTTCAAGGAGCACCGGGACACGGCGCTGTATAAGTCCCTGTCGGTGCCGGCAGCTGGCACGGCCAAGCCCCCTCTCCTCCCGCGCTCCAACACAGGTGAGCGCTTGGCGGGCCTGTGGCAGCGCTCGCGGCACCGTCCCCTGCCCCCACAGGTCCGCGCTCCCGTCGGGGGCAGTGCAGTTCTGTTCCACTGAGGCCTCCCACACCGCTGGGGGGTCTGCCTTGGCACGGTCCTCCTCGGGCATTTGGGAGGAGGCTGGCCTGTAGGGGCTGCCGAAAGACCCTCCTCTCTGGAGACTCGGTACCTGCCCACCCGCGCTCGGGCTGCTGCGGGGCGCGTGTTGGAACAGGCAGAGTCTTGGGCGGCCTTTGCTCAGCACCCTCGGTGGGGAGCCCAGTGGCGCCGCAGGCAGCCTCACTTCCCGCTTGGGTCTGGTCTGGGTGCCTGAGCCTGCTGCCTGCTCTGGTGCCCGCGGGCCTGGCTTGGTGCTGTCCTTCTAGGCCGCACCCTCTGGCCCTTCCCTGCTGCAGATGGTGCTTTACAGGCCCAGCCATCCTTCCTGAGCAGGAGGGAGGCCCTTCCCTCGCCAGAGGTCGCCTGAGCAGCTCGTAGCGCTAGGCCCATGCCCCGCCCCGCCGGCCGCTGTCCCTGCCCTCTCTCCTCTCCAGGCACGGGGCCTGTCCTCTCTGCTCGACCTGTGTGTAGTCTCTCCTTCTGCTGACGTGGCCGCTCACGTGGTTTCCCTTGCAGTGGCCTCTTTCTCCTCCCTGTACCAGTCCAGTTGCCAAGGAAAGCTGCACAGGAGCATTTCCTGGGCAGGTATTCGTGCGTCTCTCTCAGGAAGGCAGTGTTTGCTGCAGAGCGCCACTGTGCCCATAGACGCTGCTCCCATCGTCCCCACCACCCACCTCCCGGGTCCATCTGAGCCTCTCGTCGCTCTCGGGAGCGCGCGACTCGCATGAGGACATCCGCAGACGCCTGCGCTCTGCCCACGGGAGCCCCTTTGACTTGCGCCCTCGCGGCAGAGCTCTGTTCCTGAGCTGGCGCGCCCTCCCGGCCCCTTCTTCAGGCCGCAGGAGGCGGGGTGGCCCCAAGGCCCCTTGGTGACATCAGCTAAGCTGCAGATGCCGGTGGGTGGTGGCTGTTCGGGGTTGAGCCTGGCCCTGGGGCTCCACCCAGCTGACCTCACCCTGGTCTCTGGCCGTGTTACTGGCCTCGTGAAGCCACAGGTTGGACGGCGTCTGCCATTGACCACGGGCTGACCAAGGCCCTGCAGACGGCCTCTGCCCAGTGCCCCCAGGCCCTGGCAGGGTGTGGTTTCGCCTGCCCAGCGGCCTGCCCTGCCGGGCCCCCCATGTGGGCAGGAGCCGGTTAGGAAGGGCCGTGTGCTAGGCTCTGGCGGGCAGCTAACGGGCCGCGAGCGTCCAGGGGCCGTGCGTGGGGCATCCGCGGCTGCGATAACCCTGGGCTGCTGCTCCCCTGGGTCCCTCTTCTGACGCTGGCACAGGAAACACTGCTTTGGGACCTCACCCGCCCCCCGAGTGCGCCTGGCTGCGGTTCTGGCTTGGACGTGCAAGGCAAGCTCCTGCGCTGGGCCGCGGGCACGCAGGCTTCCCCACGGCAGCCTTTTCTGCGAGTACAAAGTCGCGGAGAAACTCAGCCCCGTCCTCGGCTACTGAGGGCTGGTCTCGGTTGGGGGCTTCCTCCTGGGGGAAGGAGTCTGTCTTGCCTTTGCCCACCTGCCTTGCTGGAGGCGCAGAGGTGGACACGGGTGGGCAGAGCCGGCTGCCCACCTGACCCCCAGGAGCCCACACAGGAGACACCTGTCAGAGCTCACGCCAGCCCCTCTGAGCGTCCTCTTCCCAGCCTGCTCGAGGGCGGCAACAGCAGGCAGAGCCTTGGGGAGGCTCTGCAGGGCCTCTGTCCCCTCTGGCGGGGACCAGGCTGGTACTCTGAGGCCATGTGAGTGCCAGGCCCGGCCCAGCACCCAGCAGCCCCGTCTGTGTCCTCCCAGACTCCGCCGTGGTCATGGAGGAGGGAAGTCCCGGAGAGGCTCGCGTGCCAGTGGAGCCGCCCGAGCTGGAGGACCTGGAGGCAGCGCTGGGCCCAGACAGGCCCTGTGGGCGCGCCGGCGCTTACAGCAGGGTGAGTGCGGCTGTGCCCGCGGCTGGGGGCGGGCGAGGCAGGGGTGGCCTCCTGGTGTCCTCCTGACTGGCTGTGCGAACCTGGACCAGTCCTGCCCTGTTTCTTTTTTTTTTTTTTTTTTTTTTTGAGACAGAGTCTCGCTTTGTTGCCCGGGCTAGAGTGAGTGCCGTGGCGTCAGCCTAGCTCACAGCAACCTCAAACTCCTGAGCTCAAAAAATCCTTCCGCCTCAGCCTCCCGAGTAGCTGGGGCTACAGGCATGCGCCACCATGCCCGGCTAATTTTTTTCTATATATATATGTATTTTTAGTTGTCCAGATCATTTCTTTCTATTTTTTGGTAGAGACGGGGTCTCGCTCTTGCTCAGGCTGGTCTCGAACTCCTGACCTTGAGCGATCCACCCGCCTCAGCCTCCCAGAGTGCTAGGATTACAGGCGTGAGCCACCGCGCCCGGCCCTGCCCTGTTTCTTATCTAAAAACGGCCGTGTCCCTCCACACCCTCCTGAGGGACGGTCTGGATTCCCAGTGGCCATCTGGGCTTTGCCCTCATTACGGGGCGCCCTCTGCTTTGTGAGGTTCTCAGCGCCTCTGCTCAGCGTGGGGCATAGGCAGGTGCCACCGCTGTGAGGTGGGGACCGGAACGTGGTGGCTGGGCTGCCCTGCGGCCCTGGGCAGGGGGACAGGTGGGGCTTCCTCAGGGCAAACTGCCGGTGGCCCCAGGTGCCTCCTGACGAAGGTTCTCCTTGGGATGGTCCTTTCTAGTCGTCCTCAACCTCCAGCCAGGAGGACAAGTCCTTCCACGCGGAGGAGCTGGCTGCCGGGGGCATCCCCATCGGGCGCGCTGTCTCCTCCGAGGGCGGCCGGCCCTCCGTGGACCTCTCCTTCCAGCCTTCGCAGCCCCTGAGCAAGTCCAGCTCCTCGCCCGAGCTGCAGACCCTGCAGGACATCCTCGGGGACCCTGGGGACAAGGCTGACGTGGGCCGGCTGAGCCCTGAGGCCAAGGCCCGGTCACAGTCGGGGATCCTGGATGGGGAAGGTGCTGCCTGGGTGGCGCCGGGCGAAGAAAGTCGGTGCCTGGGCCCCGCACAGCCCGAGGGTCCCCTGCACTCCGGCGCCCCCCGCTCGCCCAGCGGCCTCCGTCCCCGGGGTTACACCATCTCTGACTCGGCCCCGTCGCGCAGGGGCAGGACGGCGGAGAGGGAGGCCTTCAAGAGCAGAGCGGCGGCCCCCAACGCTGAGAAGGTGCCAGGCGTCAACCCCAGGTGGGCCTCTTCCCTCCTGGCTGGCGGCGCCTGCGGAGCCCTGGGCAGAGCTAGCTGGGGGCCAGTGCTCGTGTCCTCCGCCCTGTGGCCGGTTGGAGCCCCGGGGGAGGGCGCCACCCTTGGCGAGGGCTCAGCTCCGCTCTCCACGTGGGCCGCGGCTGCGCCCCAAGCCCAGCCCTCGCCGTCTCTGCAGCTTCGTGTTCCTGCAGCTCTACCACTCCCCTTTCTTCGGTGACGAGTCCAACAAGCCCATCCTGCTGCCCAACGAGGTGGGTGTCCCCACTCTGCAGAGCCCCGGCCCGTGGGGGCGGGGCGGGGTGGGAGCCCCCAGCTCGCTGCCGTGGCCGGCCACCACCTCCCGGGGCGGGGCCGCCCCTGCCCTGGGCTCAGGCGAGGCTCCGTGTGCTCCAGTCCTTCGAGCGGTCGGTGCAGCTCCTCGACCAGATCCCGTCCTACGACACACACAAGCTCGCCGTCCTGTACGTCGGGGAGGGCCAGGTGAGGCTGCTGGGCCTGTCCGCAGGGGGTTGGGGTCGGGCCGCTCCCTCCCTGGGAGTGCCACACTGCATGAGCCTCAGAGCATCAGGCGCTGTTCTGAGAGCCAAGAGCACAGGTGTAGGAGTGACAGGTCAGCGTGTGAGCACGCGGCACACCAGAGACCAGCGTGTGGGCGGGGGCAGGGTGTGGGGCGATCGAGTGGGAGCAGACACATGGATGGAGGAAGTAGGGCGGGGGTTTCCATGCCAGAGCAGTGGGTGCACAGGCCCTGGGGTGTGCCTGAGCGCTGGTACTGAGTGAGCTGGGGGGCGGTGACAGGATGTGGAGGCAGAGATGTCACGGCAGCGGCAGGTTGTAGGCAGCTTCAGAGCCCTTTGTGGGGTGGCACAGTCCTGAGTGGCTCTGAGCAAAGGCCTCGATGTGACCCTGGCCAAGTCCTGGGAGCAGCCGTGCGTTGGCCGCTGCGAGGAGGCCTGGTGGACGTGGCGGCAACCATCCCGGCAGGAGAGGCCCACGGGGCACAGGCTGCTGAGCAGGGACGGGGTTCTGGGTGGCTTTGAGGACAGAGCTGACTTTGTTGGCCAATCGAGTATAGGGGGTGAGAGAAAGGAGGGAGCGGAGGGCGATGCCGCGGCATCTGGCCTGGGCAGCTCTGCGCTAAGTTGGGGACCTTGGCAGAACCACACCAGCCACCGCCACCCGTGACCGCAGCAGCGACAAGCCCTGCAGACCATAGCTGCTCGGGGCCCTGAAGCTGGGTGCTGGGCAGGAGCTGATGGGGTCCTGGCGGGGTGAGTGGGGCTGGGCCCGGGAGCAGCACCCCCTCCTCCTACCTCCGCAGAGCAACAGCGAGCTCGCCATCCTGTCCAACGAGCACGGCTCCTACCGCTACACGGAGTTTCTGACGGGCCTGGGCAAGCTCATCGAGCTCAAGGACTGCCAGCCGGACAAGGTGTACCTGGGCGGCCTGGACGTGTGCGGCGAGGACGGCCAGTTCACCTACTGCTGGCACGACGACATCATGCAGGGTGCGCGAGGGGCCCTCCCCAGGCACGCGCCCTCCTCCGCCTGGTTGTCTGAGACGACCCAGGTGTCCCCAGCCCCTGGGTTTGTAAGCACAGGTGTTGAGGCAGTGGGTGGGCTGGCGGCTGTGCTTCTAGAAGCTCCGCCCCTGGGGACAGGAGTGGGGGCCGCTGCTTGGGTGCCGGCGGGTGCAGGCCCTCAGGCCTCTCCGGAGAGACCGGGAAGGGCCCTGGCAAGAGGCGCAGACGGCCTCGACGTCGGCCCCAGGGACCCCAGCCCCGGGAGCCCTGTCACGGGCTGCCCCGCCCAGCCTGGCCTCGCCCCGCCCTACAGCCGTGTTCCACATCGCCACGCTGATGCCCACCAAGGACGTGGACAAGCACCGCTGCGACAAGAAGCGCCACCTGGGCAACGACTTCGTGTCCATCGTCTATAACGATTCCGGCGAGGACTTCAAGCTGGGCACCATCAAGGTGAGCGGGGACTCCCTGGTGGGCCGGGACCCCGAGCTCAGGGCTCAGGCACCTCTGCCTGGGCTGGCCGGAGGCCGAGTCCTTGCAGGGCGGCGTCCGCCGGCATAACCCAAGTGGTGGCAGTGAGCACTGCTGAGCGGGCAGGCCCCCTCTCTGCGCCGAAGCAGTGAGGAGGGTGGTGGCTCACCTGGGAGGGGCCGTCAGCGAAACAGGGAGGTGGGCACACGTCTTAGGTTTCTGTGAGCCCCGGTTTCCTCGTGTGTAGAGTGGGGCCTGTGGCGTTGTGGTCTTGGTCAGCGGCGCCCAAGCCGACGCGTGTGCTCTCAGCGGGGTGTGTGGTGGGCACTCGGTGTCTGCTTGGGGCACCCTGGGGGGGGCCGGAGCCTCACAGCCCTCCTGTGGTACCTGCTGAGCCCTCGATGGCTGTCCCTGCACACCACGTGCTGGAGTTGAGGCGACACGGGCAGGACGTGGGCTGTCAGCAGACTTGTCACAGTGGTGCACCCCCGGTGGGCACCAGGGTGGCTGTGGGCAGGGTACGTGGGCTGGAGTGCCGCACTCACAGGGCACTTGGGTTCACAAGAGCGCACCGGGAAGCCTTGGCGAGCACTGAACCGCGACGCCAGGTCTGCTGGATGGGCCAGGGGAGGGCAGGGTGCCCACGGCGAGGCCGCGTGGCCGTCCCAGCCCGACACTCAGTCCTGAGACGGCCGCGGGAGAGCAGGGGCAGGTATCCAGGAGTCCGAGGGGGCTGGCGGTGCTGCCAAGCTGGGCTGCAGGGCACCCAGGGCCCTGTCGTGGCTGCGTGAACGGGGACATGGGGGTGTGGGCCGGAGGGACGCTTGGGTGCCTGGCGGAGTCTAGGCTGTGGGCTCCAGCACGTTCGGTGCTGGGCCTAGCCAGTGAGGACAGACTGCCACAGCCCAGGCCGGTGGGAGGAAGTTGGGGCTCGAAGGGCGGTTGAAACGGCCAACAGCATGGGACACGGCAGTGAGCCGGGTGCCTTCCGAGCGGAGCGAGGCAGTGGCGGAAAGCGGCCCTGGGGACCGCTGACCACGCCAGGCTGACCGTCCTCTTATCTGGGCAGGGCCAGTTCAACTTTGTCCACGTGATCATCACCCCGCTGGACTACGCGTGCAACCTGGTGTCGCTGCAGTGCAGGAAAGGTAAGGCTGGGCGGCAGCGGCGGCGGGGGGCGGCGCGCAGGGCCGGGGCCGGGTGTGAGCACTGAGTCTCCCCAGACATGGAGGGCCTTGTGGACACCAGCGTGGCCAAGATCGTGTCGGACCGCAACCTGCCCTTCGTGGCCCGCCAGATGGCCCTGCACGCAAACGTGAGTGGAGGCGGGGCCGAGGGGGGTGGGCCCCGGCACCCCCACCGAGGGCTCACCGCCCTGCCCCCATCCCAGATGGCCTCGCAGGTGCACCACAGCCGCTCCAACCCCACCGACATCTACCCCTCCAAGTGGATCGCCCGGCTGCGGCACATCAAGCGGCTGCGCCAGCGGGTAGGGAGCCCGGGGCTGCGTGGCAGGGGCGGGGCTGACGGGCACTGGCTGGCTCCGGCAGAGCGTGCCTCCTGTACCCTCAGATCCGCGAGGAGGCCCACTACGCAAACCCCAGCCTGCCCCTGACGCACCCGCCGGCCCACGCCAGAGCTCCGGCCCAGGCCCCGGTCGAGCCCACGCCCACCTACGAGACAGGCCAGCGCAAGCGCCTCATCTCCTCCGTGGACGACTTCACAGAGTTCGTGTGAGGCTTCGCGCGGCTGTCGTCCAGGCCGTGGCCGGCCCCTGCCTGCCCCCCAAGTGGCCCAGGAGGATGGCCCGTGTACGTGAAATAAACCGCTGCGCGCACTCAGAGGCACAGGTAGCAGTCAGCTCCTTTATTTGACTTTGTCTGTTTGTGGGGCGGATCAAGGCACTGGCTGTGGCCCTGCCCACAGAGGCAGTCGGCCTCACACACTGTCACATACACACTGTCACGCACCCTCCCCCGCCCTGGGAGCCAGCCCCAGGGTGGGGTCTTCCCCTCTAACCACCCTGGGTCCCGCGACACACGGAGTCCTGCTCCTCGCCCACGGCCGGCACCAGCAGGGCAGGAGGCCAAGGCCGTAGGGGTAGCTGTGCTCCTCCACCGCTGCCCCGGCACCTGCCCACGGCCGGACAGCTGCCAGGCCGGGTCCTGGCACAGGCAGGCGTGTGGGGAGCGAGGCCAGCTCTGCCTCCTTGTGGGTGCAGGACCCAGCTTCAGCCACCAGGCCCTTCAGCACGAGTGAAAAATAGTTAACATACAAAAATATATACATTTTAACCCCATATAAATTACGATAGACACACAGTGAGACGGCAGCAGGAGGGGAGTACACTGCAGGGACGGAAGAGGTAATAACTTAGGGGAGGGCGGCAGGAGGTGCAGCGTCACCCCTGCTGCAGCCGGGATCCTTAGCGCCGGGAGATGTCTGCCCAGGGGGTGGGGCCGGGCACAGCCCGCTGTACCTGAGGACTCGGGAAATAAATTAGCGTCTCAGAACTGGGCACTCGGTCCAATACTGCTGTGTCCTCCCACTGGGAGCGGGGAGGGGACCCTGGGTCCTGGCTGGCCACAAGCCTCTTTAAAGTGCTGAAGCCCACAGACAGACAGACCCTGCCTGCTCTCTGGGGACTGGTGTGCAGCCATTCTGCCTGGCGCGAGGCCTGGAGGGCGGCAGAAGGTAATACTGAGTGTGTCCGCTCCGGCTCCCGTGGGCCAGAGCAAAGCCACAGGCCCTGCCCCAGGAGAGGGGTGTGAGCCCAGGTCCCCTGGGGCTAAGTGCTGCTGGGGTAGACCTTGTTCTTGGCCCGCAGGGATGCCCTGCTGGGGCCAGTAGCCAGGTCCGTGCCCCGACTGGCCCGGGCAAGGTGGCTGGGCGGGGCTGGCTGCAGGCCTGGGGAGGGGCCACGGGGAGGTGGGGCAGGGGCCCGGCTGCTCTTGTGGCCTTGCAGGCTCTGTAATCGCTGCTCCAGCTGGTAGACGTCTTCCGTGGCCTGGTTGAGTCGGTCAAACTGGGCGAGCAGGGCCTCGAACACAGCTTGCAGTCGGGAGGGCTCAGGCTCAGGCTCCCCCCTCAGCCCCAGCCGGCCCAGGCCCGCACCCAGCCCGTCCAGCTGGCTGGAGGAGGTGGAGGGGTGTGAGGCGTCGGAGCCAGCGCTGGGCGGAGGCGCATCTGGGGCCGACCTGGAGCCCCTGGATGAGCGGGAGGGCAGCGGCTCCATCCCTTCGAAGTGGACTTTGTGGCGAAACTGGGGGCGGCACAGGGGCTCGGTCAGTCCGGCTGCACCCTGGGTGAGCCCAGGGTGTGTCCCTCTCCCCCCCACTGGGCCGTACCCACCTCCTTGACCTTGCTGAAGCCCATCCAGAGGCGCAGCCTGCGCAAGAACAGCTCGACCATCTCGTAGTCCTGTGGCTCCCAGGCTGGGCGGTAGAGCTCGCCGCGCAAGGTGTGGTAGCGCCACCGAAGGAGGACTGCCCCCAGCCTCAGGGCACCCCACAGCCGCAGGGCCCAGAGCCCCACACACAGCAGGGGGGACAAGCACCAGGACTCAGCCTGGCACAGAGTGGGGACCCCAGCTCCCGGGCACACCGCCAGGAGGGCCCGGGCCGCAGTCCGAAGGGAATCCATGCAGGACGCGAGCTGCGGGGAAGTTGCGCAAGTGAGGGGTGTGCCAAGCTAAGGTGCCCTCCCAGGTGGCCCACACAGTCACCTACCAGAACAGCGAGCTGGGCGTAGGCCACACAGAGCACGACCAGGCCGAAGGTGGCCCCTGCCAGCTCCGGCAGGGCCCGGCACAGCGTCTTGCCGAAAACGGACCACTGGCGCACAAAGCGCAGCTGCTGGGCGGCCTGTGGGCAGGGGGCGTCAGCCTGCAGCCCTGGTGTGTGCCCCAGACTGTGCGTGGGCCCACCGCCCCAGCCCTCACCTTGACCAAGAGCAGGAAGAGCACGGAGGCCGCCAGGCCCTGGGCAGCGGAGCTCAGCTGCGCCACCTGGTCGAAGCTGGTGAAGCGGCGAGGGCGGCCGCGAACGAAGCGGGTCCACTGGCGGTCGGCAGTGCCCAGCTGGGCCAGTCGCACCAAGGCGGCAGCCGCGGTCAGGGCCACCAGCAGCCACCGCGCCCAGACCCCTGGCCGCAACACTCGCGTGCGCCCCTCCCGGCGCCAGGCCCGGGCCTCTGCCACCAAGAAGTGCAGCGCGAACAGCAGCAGGCACACCTGCGGAGGGGGCGGGGTCGGACAGGGTGGTGCCTGGCAGAGGGGCGGGGACCAGGGCCGCGGGGTGGGGGGGGGGCGGGCGTACCGAGGACAGTAGTGGCAGTGACAGGCCTGCGCTGAGGCGCCACATCGCAAAGGGACGGACGCTGAGGGCGGCCACAGCACGGCCGGCCGCGGGGAACTCGAGGCGCAGCGTGACGGCGGCGTGCAGCCCCACGGCCGGGCTGTAGCGCGTGAGCTCCACGAACACGGCGCGGCTCCTGCGTGGAGGGCACGGGTCAGCGGGAGGGCCGGGGTCGAGCCGGGCGGGCAGCAGGTGGAGGTCGTCTGGGCCAGGGAGGCGGCCGGCGGCGGGGGTGGGGGCTGTGGCGCGGGCGGGGCACGCGGCTGGGCTTTTCAGGGACTGAAGGCACCCGGAGGGCAGCAGAATAGGGAAGGGCCCAGGGCGGCCGCTGAGGCAGCTGCCTCGGGCCCAGCGGGAGGCGCACCTGCTGTCACGCCCACCTGTTGTCCAGCCAGTTGTGCAGCTGCAGGAAGCCCAGCTGGGCGCGGCTCTCCTCCAGGCTCAGGCCCAGCTCCTGCACGTAGCCCCCGCTGTCGTACACGGCGCAGTAGCCCCAGTACCAGGCGCTGCGGGCGACAGCAGGCAGAGTTGGAGGGCAGACCCGGGAGCCGGGGCTCCTCTGGAGGACTCTTTCCTCCTGTTCGCACCGAAGCCTGGGGCCCTTCTTGCTCACCCCAGCAGGTCGGGCGCGGAGTAGGACCACATCTCTGAGCCGTTGTGGGCTGCTCGCTCCCAGCCAACGCCATAGTCACTGGTGCTGAAGCCTCCGGAGGCTGAGCACGTGTGCACTCCGGAGCCAGGAGGGTCTGGGCGGACTGCTGAAATACACAGGGGGCCGGGGACCGGCCCAGCCTGGCTGAGCGCGTGTCCTGTATGATCACACAGAGTCCCCCAGCAACCCTCAAGCAGATGTCGTCATTATCTCCGTTTACAGAAAGGGGACTGAGGCTTGAGGAGGGCAGATCACGTGGCTAGTAAGCAGAGCTGAAAGCAGACCTCAGCTAACGGCTACTCTCTGGAAGACAGCAGGGTAGGAGTTGGGGCACCCACCCCAGCTTACCGTCCTGTAGCCGCACCTGCCGCAGCCGTGGGGGCCCCAGCTCTGGGCTGGACTGGTTCCCATGGACGTAGGGGAGCAGCACGTGGGACATCCACGGCCAGAACTCATCAGATCTGCGTCAGACACAGAGTCAAGCCCTCCCAGCCCTCAGCCTCCCTGTGCCCACCTGGGGGTGAGATGCCCTCAGAGGCCCAGAGAGCACGGCTACTGCAGCCCCAGGGGACAAGCCTAGGCCCCAGTTTCTCAACCTCAGCCCACTGGCGTTTGGGGGCGGAGAATTCTCTGTCATGGGGCTGTGCGGTGCACCGTGGTGGTAAGCAGTATCCTGGTCTCTACCCACAGATGCCAAACAGCACCTACTCCAGTCCTGACAACCAAAAACGTATCTAGACATTTCCAAATGTCCCCTAGGGGCTGGGCTGGACTAGGGGCAAGACCAAGTGGGCCCTGGCCAGTGCTGGCAAGCCCCAGTCCCGCAGGTGTGTGCATGCTCATGTGCCGTCCATACCGGGTGATGGCCAGGAAGGCCCGGCTGCCCAGCTCCTGCTTGATGGAGCTCTGCAGACGATAGGCATGGCCTTGGCACGAGACGTCCCCATAGTTGGCCAGCAGCGTCACCAGCAGGAAAAGCATGTACACCAGGAAGCTCTGCAGGACAGGGATGGCACTGTGGTCAGCTGGTCCCAGCACACAGTGACAGGGCTGGGCTCTGGGGATGCAGGGCGGCAGCCTGCCCAGCCAGGGCGCCCGACACTAAGGAGCGGCAGTGCCAACCCCACCAGCTCCCCGCCTAGGCACAGACACGCAGTCCAGTGAAGGCGGAGGCCAGCCAGGAGCGGGCCTCTCGGCGGGGCACCAGCACAGACTGGAGGCGGCAGGACTAAGGGGGCCGGGGGGTCTGGGCAGGATTCCAAGCCCCGACATCGAAAGGGCCCCGCGTGGTCAGGAAAGGGGGACGTTACGAGTGCACTGGCGGGAGGTGGGAGAGGGAAGTGGGCGCTGGGCTCACCCTCAGCAGGCCGTGCAGCCTCTTGACCTTGCGGGCTTCCTCCTTAGCTAGGAAGAGCGCAAAGCCATGCGGGGGCCTCACGCGGGGCACACGTTCGCTCACGGGAGTCACGGCCGGGCTCTCCACCAGGGTGTCGTCTTCGTCCGGGTGCAGCCTCTTGGCCACCAGCGAGAAGTAGAGGGCTTCCAGCAGGACCTGGGGCGCGGGCGGCATCAGAGGGGCCAGCAGGTGCCGGAGACCGGCAGGCAGCCCCGCTCCGACGCCACTCACCTTAAGCGGCTCCCAGCCGAGGAAGGAGGCCAGAAAGCTGGAGCTGCTCGAGAGGAGCCACATGACACTCACGCTGGGGGGGAAACTGGCGCCAACCCACCCCGAGACCCCCACGGCTGCAGCCACCAGGAGCAGGCTGAGCCCGTGGGCCAGGGAGGCACACCACGCCGGCAGCAGTCGCTTCCGCAGACCCTCCACCAGTCCTGGGGACACAGAGACAGACATGTGACCGGCGGCCCAAAGGGAGCGGCTGGGGGGCGTCGTGGGCTCAAGCAAGCGCACCTGTCCTGGAGAGCCTTGCCGCCGGGGGCCGCTCCCAGCTCAGGCCTGGGCTGGGCAGCCCCTTCTCCCCCAGCCTCTGCAGCATCAGCGTCTCCCTCTTCTCCCCGAGAGTACTGGACCTGGGGTACAGGGTGGGGCCGTGAGTTCTTCCCACCTCCCAGGACGGGGCTGCTGTCCTGCCCACGCCCATCTGGGCCCTTAAGACCACCCCCTCCTGCACCAGAGAGCCTCAACCAGAGTGGGTGTGGGAGTTCAGGACTCCGCCGTCACCCTGGTGGGGCCACACCCACCCAGCTGCTCAGGCCTCTCTCTAGTCCTCTCCTCTCACTTCCTGCTCCGTGTCATTGCCCAAGGCCCCAGAATCCTCATCCTTGTCCCCAATCTCTTATCACCACTCATCACGACTCCAGCTGCAGTGACGGCCTTCCAGGGCCCCTCCTCAAGCCAGCAAACCGTGAGGTTCCCAACCTTCCAAGAGCGCTCCCCGCCCGCCACCTCCCCACGCAGTTCTGTGGCCTAAAATTAACTTCTGTACGGGGAAGGGCCCAGGGCCGCTGTGTGTACAAGGAAACATATGTGCGTCTTTCAAATTGCAACAGTGCACGGGGCTCTGCAGGACCCAGAGATCTTGTTCCCAAAGGAACCAACAGACCACAGACCCTCACATCCCTAAGCCAACATGCCACCGACTTCCCCGATTCCAGAGCTGCTGCGACAGGAGCCACCGAGGTGAGAGGAAGCACAGGGGTGAGAGCGGAAAAGCCGAACATGCCGCGTGCCGAGGGGAGAGTCCACACGCTCCGCGGCGCCTTCCGTGCACCTGCACCCCATCACGTCGTCGCCGAAAGAACAGCCCAGACCCAGGCGCGCACCTGCTGCAGAGCTGCACCAAATGCCTGTCGCGCGGAGCCCGGACGAACCTCTCACTTACTGAGGTGGGAGATCACAGAGTCACAAGTGAATGGAGGCAGCAATTTTTTTCTTGAAATTGACTTTTCTGATTTTAAAAGTGGTATAAAGCATTTGTAAAAATAAGGTAAAGGTAGAGACTATTTAATATCAGCATTTCCCTTACACAAGGAATAGCAGTGCCAATGGCTATTTCTAGTCCTGCGTGTACACGTGTGTTGTACGTGTGGCTGTGAACACATCGTATGAGGATCACATGATGTACACAGCAGAGAGTACCTGGAATCGAACACAAGACTCTAACCTGCATGAGGGGCCGGGCGGCGCTCATGCTTATAATCCTAATACTCTGGGAGGCCAAGGCGGGAGGATCGCTTGAGCTCAGGAGTTCGAGACCAGCCTGAGCAAAAGGGAGACCCCATCTCTACAAAAAATAGAAAAATCAGCTGGGCGTGGTGGCACCTCTACTCCAGCTACTTGGGAGGCTGAGGCAGGAGGATCGCTTGAGCCCAGGAGCTTGAGGTTGCTGTGGGCTGCGCTGACGCCACAAAACTCTAGCCCAGGCAACAGAGCAAGACCGTTTCAAAACAAACAAAAAATTAAATAAATGATTTAAAACAATAAACTGCACGAGAGCGAAGACTTTGACTCTATTACGGCACTTCCTGACCCCTCGGTCACGGGAATACTTACTGATCCCTACTGAACGCCCAGCACTGCTGCAGGCCCTGGGGACACACAACGTCCCTGCACTTGCGCCGTGCACGTCACACAGTCAGCACAGCCAAGCCGGTGAGCAGGAAGCAGGGGGGACGTGGGTGCACAGCAGGGAGGGGGGCTCTGACCAGGTAGCATCTGAGCAGAGACCAGACTGCAAGGCAAGCAGGCATGAAGCTGTCATCTGGGGAGGACACTGGCAGAGGGAGCAGCAGAGCCCCAGGACGCAGGCGGCAAGGGAAGCAGAGAGGCTGAAGGGGAGCGAGACGTGGGCAGGGGGCAGGCCCAGGCCATGGGAACTCGAGTTTTAACTCTCAGTGGAACCAGAACTGCTCCCACTTATGGCAGGCCGCCTCTGGCGTGGCCCTTCATGACAGGCTGCCTCTGTTTAGTCCCTTCCCAGAGAGTAGCCAAGAGGATATTGCGGGAGCGACGATGCGCAATTAACAGGGCTGGGTCACACGCGACACTGATCCTGGGGATCACTCGCTCAGGGAGGACGCCGGCCGCCATGCTGGCACGATGCCCAAGCAGCTCTGTGGAGAGTGCGTGGGGAGCTGAGGCCGCCCACCCCACCGCACCAGCGAGCCTGCCATCCCCGTTGTCTTGAGCACCAAGTTCTGGGTAACCTGTCACGCGGCGGGAGAGAACTGGGACCAGGCAGAGACAGGGTCTGACTCGGGAGCAGCTCTCACTGCTGCAGACAGGAGGAAGTGCAGAGGAGACAGCCCTACGGTCAGCCCAGGAACGGTCCGGGCAGAGGGTGATGTCAGGATGGAAGGGGCAGGTGGAGAGAAGGCGACCTGCGGCGGGCAAGGAGCTGGCGGGGTGTGCCGAGGGCTCACTCGAGGAACGGCACAGAGTCGTCAAGAATGAATCCAAGGCGGGCGCGGTGGCTCACGCCTGTAATCCTAGCTCTCTGGGAGGCCGAGGCGGGCGGATTGTTTGAGCTCAGGAGTTCAAGACCAGCCTGAGCGAGAGCAAGACCCTGTCTCTACTAAAATTAGAAAGAGATTAATTGGACAACTAAAAATATATAGAAAAAATTAGCCGGGCATGGTGGCGCATGCCTGTAGTCCCAGCTACTTGGGAGGCTGAGGCAGGAGGATCGCTTGAGCCCAGGAGTGTGAGGTTGCTGTGAGCTAGGCTGACGCCACGGCACTCTAGCCCAGGCAACACAGTGAGATTCTGTCTCAAAAAAAAAAGAATGAATCCAAGATGTCTGTCTTGGTCCCCTAGAAGAGCGCACTGGCCATTTTCTGAGCTAGGGACAACCAGGGAGACAATGTCCACGGCGGCTGGGAAATAGCGCTCTGTACTGCCGCGAAGGCTGCGCTGCAGGGAGACGCGCGCTCGCAGTCACCCTCGCGGGGGCAGCCAAGTGTGCGGACCTGGGTTCAGAAAGAGCTCTGGGCTGGAGACGTTTGGGCGTGGTCAGTGTATGATGGCTGACCCCGTGTTTCCCCATATATTTTTTTAAATCAGTGGGCAATTTCTTCATAAAGACGTCCTTGTGTCACCGTCATCTGCCTTCCCAAAACAATGTCGGAAGCTTTCCCCTTTTGTCTGTTTTGTGGGACAGTTCACATCTCAGTAATCTCTGGTTGCTTAAGAATTAGAAGAGCTCGAAGGAATGAAAATGCAGATACTAAAATAGACGTGGGGAAGAAAAGAAATGCAGTCACGTGTGGCTCAATAACGGGGACACTTTCTAAGAAATGCGTTAGGCGATTTTGTCGTGTGGACGTCACTGAGGGAACCTACACAAACTAGATGGTGGCACGCTGTGTTGTACAGGCTGCAAACCTGGACAGCAGGTGACTATCGAATACTGCAGGTAATTGTGACACAGTGGGAAGTATTTGTGTATCTAAAAACATCTAAGCGGAGAAAGGCACAGCAGAAACATGGTATCGTGATCTCATGGGACCATCACGGCACACGTGGTCCGCCATCGGCTGAAAAGTCACTATGCCGCACGTGACTGTATGTCGTTCATGTATTCTATGTGTATATTAGTTATTAAGTTGGAAAATAAGAAATATGGAAATTCTTTAAAACACAAATAATCAAAACAATCTCAAGAAGAAAACGTGGGGTATTTGAAAACCTGCCCATGATTTCTCACTGCTTTGAGACCAAAATCAAAATTCATCCCACGGCCAGCCCCCACGGTCGCAGGCCGGCTACCCTTCCAAACCTTGAACGCCTGTGCTCCTGCTCCTCCCGAAAGGGAGGCTCCTGGGCCCCTGGGCGGCCCCATGAGGCCCTTTCCACAGATGCGGAACCAGAGGCTCAAAGCAGTGAGCGACGTGGCCACAGCCCAGCCCTGGGAGGAACGAGGCGCGGAGCAGGAGCACCCCCAGGTGGGGAGCAGGGCTTCCTGGCCGGGGCTCCCCCAGCCACCCCGCCTGCCACCCCCTCCCTGGGAGTTGGGCACTCACAAGCCAGCGAGCAGGTCCGTCTCCATCTGCGTGTCCTGGGTGGGGGCCAGGCTGCTGGCTCCTTCGGCCAGCACCTGCCGGATCAGGTCTTCATCTAGAGGGACCAGGACGCGTCAGGGTGGGCCAGCCCTCAGGGTGGGCTTTGGAAGCCTCCCTCCTCCCCACCCCAAGCTCACCTGACGCTGAGAAGTGTCTGGCAGGTGAGGAGGGGCTGACCCGGGAGAGACTGTCCTCCTCTGGGCCCAGCACGAAGCCTGCCCGGCCCTGCGCCAGGCGCTGCAGGTTGCTGCCCACGACGGACGTGTCGCTGAGCAGGTCCGGCCAGCTGAGCGTGCCTTCGCTGGATGGCCACAACACCAGGCTATAGGTGGACAGGTCAGCAAGGAGAGCCCCAACCCAAGGCTGGTCACACGCGGACACACTGGGCTTCAGGGCAGACCTGCTCTCGGTTGGCATGTGACAACACGGAGAGCTGGCAAACACGTGGCCCGGATACCCACACACTTAAGGCACAGGCAATCTCTGCCAAGACATGCGTTTTTTCTAGGGAACCCACCTTTTAGAATCATCCAGAAATAAGTCATTTTGCATTTGTGCAGCGAGGGCCTGTTGAGAGTGCAGAGAGCACCTGAGAGTCTGGGCTGCCCCAGGCGCAGGAGCCGCCAGCACAGGCAGGGCCCGAGGCTGCTCCCGCCCCAGCAGAGCGCTCACCTCAGCGCGGACGCCGGGGAAGGCGAGGAACGAGCTGTCCAGCACAGACGAGTCCAGGCAGCTGTCCACGTCCAGCACCTGCTGCCCTGCAGGGATGGCGCTCGGGCCCCCAGCCACCTGCACGGAGTGAGCAGGTGATCAGCAGGAGGTAGAAGCTACCTCCTAAGCAGACAGCGTATAGTGCTGTCTGACCAGTGCTGAATGTTCCAGAATGATGGATATGTTCTATATTCACACTGTCCACTGCAGGAGCCCCTAGCCTCATGTTGCCATCAAGCACTTGAAATGTGGTTGGTGTAAGTAAGGAATTTTTGTTTTCTTTGAGATAGGGTCTTGTTCTGTCTCCTGGGCTAGAGTGCAGTGGCGTCATCATAGCTCACAGCAACCTCAAACTTCTGGGCTCAAGCGATCCCCCTGCCTCAGCCTCCTGAGTAGCCGGGACTACAGGCGCCACCACGCCCAGCTAATTTTTCTATTTTTAGTAGAAACAAGGTCTTGCTCCTGCTCAAGCTGGTCTTGAACTCCCGGCCTCAAGTGATCCTCCCTCCTCGGCCGCCCAGAGTGCTAGGATTGTAAGCGTGAGCCACTGTGCCCAGCCTCAACTTTTAATTTTACTTAAATATAAACAGCCATGTGTGGCTCGTGGTGACTGGACTGGACTCCTGGGAGGCGTCGCTCCCGGCCGTGGGCGCAGCCCTTTGCACGTGTTGCTGGGCGTGGTCTGCTAGTGTGCTGCTGAGGGTCTCCCCGTGTGTGAGGGACACTGGTCAGCAGTTTCCGTTCCTGGTGACAGCTTCGTCCAGCTTTGGTGCCAGGGTAGTGATGGCCTCACAGAATGAGTGCAGAAGTGTTCCCTCCCCTTGTGCTTTCCGGAAAGAGTTTGTGCGAGATCAGTGCTAATTCTTCTTTAACTGTTTGGCAGAATCCACCAGTGCAGGCATCTGGGCCGGGGCTTCGCTTTGTGGGAAGTTTTTAAATTACCAACTAACCTCTTTACTTGCTACGCATCTATTCGGACTTTCTTATTTCTCCTTGAGTCAGTTTTGGAAGTTTGCTATCTCTCTGGAAACACATTAGTGTCTACTAGCTCCCTGATGTGTGGGCCGCAGTCGCTGCAGCATCACTTACTGGTCCTTTGATCCCTGTGAGGTTGGTGCTCACATTTCCTCTTCGTGCATGGTTTTGGCTATTTGAGATTTTTTTCCTTGTTTCTTGCTCAGTCTGTTGATCTTTCCAAAGAGTCAGCTTTGGGTTCGCTGATTTTCCCTCCTGCTGCTGTCCTGGACAGCACAGTCCCTGGCACGGCTCCGAGGCCTACACTCCACCTCCAGAGCCCTGAGGTCCCCAGCCCCAGCCCACCTTGCTCCGCGACATCCGGAAGAGGAACAAGATGGCCAGGTAGACAGGGTAGACAACCACGCTGGACACCAGGCCGATGGCAACGGTGTCGACATTCAAGGGGATCAGACTAGACACGGGCCCTGGGCTGTGTGGCAGGAGGAGAGACCAGGACAGGTCAGTTGGGGGCAGGGCAGTCGGGCAGGAGGCCGCCATCCCGACCCCATGGGCACCCACCTGTAGGCAGCGTCTCCCACAACCCCGTACCACACGGCATTGGCACCCAGGAAAAGGCAGATGAGGAGGACACAGCAGGTGGCCCTCTGGACGCGGGTGAAGCGGCTGCGAGGCAGCCGGTCCCATATGGAGAGCCAGATGTGCTTGTCAAAGAAGCCACGCTGCAGCTCAGCCACCAGGAGGCGCCGGAACCGCCACAGGGCCGCATCGCCTGGGAAGGGCACAAGCGGGGCTCAGAGGGCCCAGTTGCAGGCCCCGCAGTCTGCCCGGGCTGGGGACCAGGCCTTACTTGCTGCCAGCACCTCCTTCTCCACTAGGCCCCCGTTGGCCTCCGTGTCCACCGACAGCCAGTCGTTGACCAGGAAGAAGGTGCTGCGGGCACTCTGCAGGTCCCTGACGACGACGTGTTGCAAGAACCAGGCGGGGCTGAGCCCTGTGGAGGGGTGGGAGGGGGTCAGGGCTGCAGGGTGCTGGCGGGGCAGGAGGGCAGCGGCAGGTCCCCACCCCAGACCTTTATTGTCGTGCCACACTCGGATTTTCCACACGCTGCCCAGGCTGTGCGGGGTGGCGATCTGGAAGATGTCTAGGCTGTTGCGGTGGAAGGCTCTGTCCCCATCCAGGTGCCGGTGGCCACTACGGCTGTCCACCCCATACAGCATGATGCCCACGTGGGCCGTGGTTCCTGGAGGACGGAATGTGAGGTGGCGGGGCTCTGGGTTTGCTGCCCCCTACACGTGGGACCCCAGGCTAGTCGCTCCACCTGTCCACCTTCGTTCCCGCAACAAGTCGGCGCAAGCAACCTCTGCTCTGCCCGGTTCTGATACACAAGAGGGGTTTCTGTTACCTTGGGTCGTTCGATAAATACCAACCCTGCAACAATGTGACTCAAATCCGGTTACCGCGGCACGGGAGCTGGAGTGACCGCACGAGCGCAGACACGGCTGCGCTGCTTGGTCCACCGATCACCGTGTAGGCGGAGAGGCACACCACCATCGGCGGCCTGGCGCCGCGCACCCATCACCCCACTCACACACAGAACACGAGCATGGACTGTGTTGCCTCCCCCTCCCCCGTGACGGACCCAGGTGACAGTTTTTAAAAATGAATACTCAGAAGAGAGTTGGCCAACAAAGATGAAAGCACAGCAAAGAAATGAAAAACGGTAACGCTGCAAATGGAGTTACGCAGAAAACGGGGGCGGGTACGCTGGCACTGCCTCCCTGAGGGACCGGAGAGGCAGGCGGGGTCCGCTCGGGGAAGACGGGCTCAGCAACACTCGCGAGGAAAGCGATCGGGGCAGAAGGATGGAGGTGCCGCAGCAGAAGCGCCAGCAAAAACCTCACGTTCCAAGATTTCTTGGAGATACTTTGCGACGTCGAAAACGTAAAGGACAGAACGTGGGCGTCAAGACAGACTGAGAACAGGAACCCGGCACAGCACAGCAAGCGTGTGCGCCACCGCGACCCGCGCGGCCAAACCACTCCAGAGAAGTTTGTCACAGAGAAACAAAACGCTTTGTTTCCTAAGTTTCTAACGTCTTACGCGGTACTAGGTACCAGTACGTTTCCCTATACGTTTATAACCAACGGTAAGAGAGTTTTTAATGTTTGGAAACAAACTTTAAAAGTCACAGAACCGGGGTAGGGGGCAAGGGCAATGCAACCTAAACATTCGTACCCATGTAATACGCAGAAGAAAAAAAAAGTCACAGAACCACAGTGATTTCCTGCCGATCACTGAGCTTTGCGCAGTCTGAGCTGAGACGCGGCAAAGGGGCGGGCCGCTCTGCTCGCAGCTGTTCTCGTCTCGGAAACAGTGAATGTCCTGAGGTCACTCCAAGGATTAATGAGCTAAGGCTTGACACAGCACCTGGGGACTGAGCACCCATCTCACGACAACTGCTGTGAGAATCACTCCTGGGGGGGCGGCCAGGCACAGCAGTTGGGCCACTTGGGGTGGGCCCTGCTTCCCTGTCTGGCGCCCCCTCCTCTCACCTGAGCCCCGGCCCCAGCCGGTCTTGACCAGGATCTCGTACTTGAAGCGTCCCCTCTTCCCGCAGAAGGGGATGTTGCGGACCCGGCTGACGTCCAGCTGGTCCAGCTTGCGCAGGATCACGGCCATGACCGTGTAGGTCACCAGGCTCACGGCACATGTCAGCAGGACGACATAGTTCACACCCGCGGCCGGCTCCTGGAAGGACAGAGCCGCCAGACCCAGGAGGTCACATGCAGACTCCACTGTGCGAGGGCAGGGCTGGGGCCCACCCAGGCCCTACTCAACCCTGCCAAGGAGTGCGAGAACATGGCGCCACTCACAGGAAAGATGAAGTCGACGTGACTGGGGGGCACAAAGAGGCTGGCCCCGAAGGCGGTGAGGTGGCGGGTGAGGCAGACGGCCTGGCTGGGCGAAGTCTCCTCCAGGGGCACCAGCCCCTCCGTCTTCCACACCATCTCCTCCTCGCTGAAATACTGGCACAGGGACGTGTAGAGGCCCACAGACACCTCCAGCGCAGACCAGTGGAAGTGGTTCGTGAAGTTCAGATAGTAGCTCCCACCTGGGTCTCCAGTCCTGGGTAGGGACACGGGAGTGTCACAGCCAGCCCTGGGCCTGAGCCAGGCTGGGTGTCCTGGCCTCAGGTCCTGTCCTGGCCTGCACCCCAGTCTTCCTGCTGCCACTGTTCCCACAGAGACCCCGAGACCGTGGCAAGCGCAGACCCACCCTGCCCCTGCTGCACGCACACTCCCGCCGTGTCGCTCACCCCGGGGCAACGAAGAAGGTGTAGGGCCTGTGGTCGTCACCCTCCAGCACCTCTGGGCTGATTCTCCTGCTGGCCGAGCAGTTGTGCTCATTGGGGCGGGGCGCTGTGTGTAGGTAGACGGCCAGGTAGGGCTCGGGCTCCTCAGACAGGTAGCGCTCTGGGGTGGCAAGTGCAGGGTCGGATGCCTGCCTGGGGTGCTCGCCCACCCTGGACCCTCCAGAGCCCTGCCTCTGGGGGCAGCATTCCCCGTAGCCTCTTGACTCCCCTCCAGCCAGGCCCCCATGAAGCAGAAGGCAGACTTTCCCAGAGACCACAAACGTGGGGGCATCTGCAAGAAATGCCCTTTCCGCCCAGGGACGAGGTTGGCGGGGCTGGGGGCACGCCCATGTGCCACTCAAAGCACCCACCGTTCAGCAGCGTGTAGGTGAGCCACAGGTGCAGCCCGGCCTCAGGGTTGCTGTTGTCTGGGGTGACCACGGCACTGACTGAGGCCCGGGGCTGGACGACGGCGGAGCCAGCGGGGCTGTGGTGGCTCCAGGCGGCCTGGTCCGAGTTGTTGGGCACCTTCACTGTGATGGCACGCTCCGAGGCCAGCCGCTCAATGGGGATCTGGGCACCAGCCTGTGTCTGGAAGGCCATGGACGCCACCTTGGTGGAGACCGTGTAATTGCTGATGTAGCCAAAGGGGAAAGGGTTGGAGTCGACGAGGAAGATGAGCTGCACCACGTCACTGAGGTTGGACAGGGCCCCGCTGAAGGCCTCTGGGATGGAGAAGTGGCAGCCGGGGCCCGAGGCGTTGCCATAGCACAGCAGGCTCAGGGGGTCCGAGCGCTTGCCCTGGGCCACGATCTCCTCACCCACCAGGGTCAGGGGCTCCTCGTTGAGCACGCGGGAGCGCATGAGGATGCACATGAGGGCGGACGAGAGGTTGTAGGCCTTGGACGCCACCATCAGCGAGGGCGGCTCAGCCCCCAGCTCTGAGGGCTGCGGGCCCTGCACGTCCAAGCTGGCCAAGTAGATGAGGTCACCTGCAGACGGGACATAGGATAAGGGGAAGTCCAGGCGGGAGGCCAGGGAGGGGAGCCCCACGAGCCGCACCTGTGATGTTGAGGATGCTGTCGGCGATGGCGGTGGGCGTCACGGTGCCCTCGGTGGTCTCGGCCTGCAGGATGCGCATCATGCCCTCCAGCTTGTGCAGCGTCTGCTTCAGGCACGAGCGGCACACAAGCTCCCTGCTGGACACCTGCGCAGAGCCCAGCACCAAGTCCAGCCCCGCTCCACCACGCAGCGTCCCGGCAGCTCCCCAACACTCGCTTGGGTTGGCTTGCACCCCTCCTGCCCCAACACGGCCCAGCTCTGCGTCCTCACGCGGGCCAGGAGGCTGGGCAGCCCCCCTCCCCCAGGCACAGCACCCTGCAGCTGGAGACCCTGCCAGACACAGAGCCACTTCCAGCCTCCCCGTCGAAAGCCCCCAGTGGCTCCTCCCAGCCCACAGCACATCCAAACTCCTGGGACCCACGTGACACGGACCTGCCAGCCACCCCAGGGCGTCTCTTCACACCACTAGAAGCGAGGCAGATGCCAAGCTGTGGATCGAGCCCACGCCAGCCACATGCACGGCCATGGAAGCCACATGGGAACAGATGACCTCTGCCCAGAAGGCTCTCTTTCTCCTCCCCTAAGGGCCGGGCCCTGCTCTGTAGCAATCCCTCAACCAGCTGTGCCCACCCCACTCACGAGTCTGGGCCTCAGCCACTGGGGGCCTCACAGAGTGGAGACCATGTTGAGTGTGCCGGGTAAGTGGCCTGAGGGGAACAGTGTCCTTGTGTCCACCTCTCCCCACACCTGGGCCATTCTTTGTGCCCTGGGCCACCTGGCACAGCCAACTTGGAGGCCACCCGTGGGTTCCTGGCACATAGCAGCAGGAGGAACAGCTGAGACTGCCTCAGAGGGCCACGGGGCCAGGCGGGGGCTATGGGGCTGTGGGGCTCAGTGCCCAGGGCTGTCATAGGAGGGGCACGCGGGGAGCTGTCGCACGCACCATGCTCTGGGCCAGCGCTGCAGCGATCTGCTGGATATCGTCCACGGTGTTGACCCGCAGGGAGACCAGGGTCTCCGTGATGTTCTTGCGCATCTGGGCTCGCAGCTGCTGCTCCTGGCTCGACTCTGCTGCCACGGCGGGGGCCTGCTCGTACTGGTGGGTGGTGAGCACAGGGAGCCGTTGGCAGGACTGCAGACCCACCCAGCAACGCAGTCCCCAGGCTGCCCGGGACTCAGTTACGTGCGGTTATGCTGTGTGGCCTGAGCAGTGACTCGAGGCCCTGAGCTGTTTCTTCGATGGCAAAATGGGGTGAGCCCAGCTGCTGTCCCGGGGCCAAGGGGCACATAGGGCGTGTGGGCAGGCGCAGGGGAGGGCCTGGCACACGGTGGCTGCTTCGGGAACAGCATTAAGGATTCTGCTGGGGGCCAGGGGACAGGTGGGAGTACCGGCCTCAGCCCCCACCACAAGTGGACCAGATGCTGGGGCATCGCCTGCCCGCCCACACTGACCTCGTTGAGCACAGTGACGAGGGCCAGCGAGTACTCAATGACGTGCTGGGGGTCGGCCTGTCTCAGCAGCCCAGGCAGCACGCTGGCAGTGAGGCCGTGCAGCCAGGCGGTGAGCCCCGGGGTGCTGCTGTTGGGCTCCGGAAGGGCAATGGCCAGAGACCTACAGGACAGCAGGGGGCTGTGAGCAGACCGTGGTCACCAAGGCTTCCTTCCCCATGGGCCCAGCTCACCTGTTGAGAGCGACTACAGCAGCACCCAGCTGGTCCTGCACAACCACAGCCAGGCCCACCTCAAAGTGTGGCCCGAAGCCGGGGGGCAGCACAGCCCCATAGGTGGAGAGGCTGCCCTTGTAGATGCAGAACTCTTCGCAGTGGCCCTGGCGACAGCGCCGCAGCAGTAGGGCATACACCAGGGGGGCGCCCGCGTCCTCCGCATCCCGCCAGCCTGCAGGACCCCACAGCGTCAGGGCGGACCCCAGCATCTCGGGGGCACGTCCCCAACGCAGGCCTGCACTCACCCGTACATTCGAAGTGCACCTTGGTGGTGAGGGCCCGCACAGCGTCCAGCGGGAAGAGGCGGCAGGAGCCCCCAAGGGGCGGGCGGTTAGGGGACAGACGGATGGAGGCACAGCCCTCCTCCTCGCCCGAGCTGCCCAGCACGGTGAGCGTGAACGTGTAGCCCTCGCCATCCCGCAGCACGCCCCGCCGCACCACCAGCCGCATGCCCGCGCTGCCCGTGGACGTGGTCGTCTCGTCCAGCACCAGCGTCTTGTTGCTGAAGGTACGTGCGGCCCAACGCTGTGGGCGGGGCGCCGCGGTGAGAGGTGGCGTGCAGACCCCGCCCCTCGGGCCCGGGCCCCGGCCCCGCCCCAAGGCTCACCCCTCGCTTGGAGCCGCCGCTGCAGTTGTGGCAGCGGCCCTCCAGGTACACGTGGGAGCTGCGGCTCACTTCGTACACCGCCTGTGCCTTGCAGGACACACACTCCAAGGACACGATGGGCACCCGGCCGATCCGGATCAGCACCTGGGGAGGGAGCATGTTCCCAGAAAGCCCAGTCCGCCCAGCCCGGCAGCTCCGCAGCTGGGAAGGTGCCTCTGGGCAGACCTGCTACCGCTCAGCCTGAGTGCCAGGTTTCTAAGGAACCCAGCGCCCCAGCCCACCCCTCAGCGGGCTCTGCCTGGCCCTGCACAACCCATCCTGTTTTCCATCCCCCAACCCGGAGAGGGGTTGGTCATCTAAAGCGGCAGAGGCCACACGAAGCTTGTTCTGCACACAGGGCCCGGCTTGAGCCTGGCAAGGAGGCAGGCGGCTCACTGACAAATGGACCCGAGAGGTGGACCTGCGTGTGTGAACGAATGAATGAATGAATGAATGCAGCACAGGGAGTGGAGCCTGCAGTCCTCGCCACAGCCGTGTCACAGGTCCTGCTGCCCTGGGCTCGGCTGGACCTTGCTCCCAGCAACCTCTCCCCAGCACCCTCGGCACGTGGTCCTGGACGCAGGCCCACTCCCCTGGTCATTCGAGGCGCACAGGTGAGTGCAGCTCTGGGCAGGCCCCCCTCCCGGTCAGGCCAGCTGAGAAAAGTCTGGCCTTCAGGACAGAAACAGACACCCCCACCCTGGGGCACCAGCAAGGCCACCACAGGGTCAGGTCACCTGCACGGTGGTCCTGAGCTTCCTGGCCAGTCCGGGGCAGAGGAGGTGAGAACCGGCCCCGCCCATCTGGAAACGACACACGGCTCCAGGAGAGTGGTTGCTGGGGGGCGGGGCGCTGTTTCTCACCGCCCTTCGCACCATCCACATACTGTTTGTTTTTTGTAAAACACTGGAGCCTGTAAGGCCCCTTTAAGATTTTATGTGAAACTATTTCCTGGCTTTGAAAGAAGCAATGCTGAAGTAGAGTATTTTGTTAAATAAGATCTCTATCAAAACCAACAAGAAATTAGAAAACAATCTACAACCTCTAGAAGCACTAAAATACAGAAAACCTATAAAAATTCGGGGTTGGGCTATCTGTGGGAGTGGCCCCGTGCACGGGGCACACCCACCGTCTGGTTGGTGGCCTCCTCCTTCCGGCCTGCCTTCCACACGGTGAGGCTGAAGGTGTACTCCACACCGGCTTCCAGACGCTCCCGGGGGATGGTGACCACGCTGCTCCCGCGGGGCCCAAAGTTCAGCGTACACCCGCCAGCCTCGCTCTGTAGGCCACAGATAAGGGCGGGCGAGGTGCCTTGAGACCCACGACCTGCCTCAAAGCGAGGCCCAGCCTGGGGACAGCTGAGGAGACCCCTCCCCATGCTGGGACCAGACCCACTGAACACTGAGGACGGGCTAACCCCAGGCCCGTGTAGAGTTCCGGGCATTCGCTGGACACATTAGAGAGCATGACCAAGGGCAGGGAGGATGGCCTGGCCACGTGGCTGACCTGTGTCGAGGCCACACAGGCCCAGTGGAAGCCGAGCAACGTCTGGTCGCCATCCTCCAGGTTGGGGTCATAGGACTTACTCCCGTCCAGCACCAGGTCCTGTGTGTCTGACCACACACGGTATGAGCCACCCTCGATGATGGGCACCAGGCGCTCAGGGGCCATTGTCACATTGGCCTGAATGCTCCGTGCCAATGGTGTGTCCCCAAATGACACCACGAACACAAAGCAATAGTGGCCCACGGGCAGTGCCAGCCGAGGCACAACCAGCTGAGGCCGGCTCACGTCCACCCCGGGCAGGGCCACTCGGGCCATGCGCCCTGGCCGCTGGCAGCTGGCAGCACGGTACACCTCCCAGCGATACTCAGTCTGGTAGGTGACACAGTCACGCAGGTCAACATGGGCCTCCAGGTAGTTGCGCTGGGAGCGCCGCATCAGCACCTGCAGGGGCAGGGCCACGTCCACTTCGGGCTCCCTGCAGGCCAGCACCTGGACACTCACTGTGGCCTGTGCCACGAAGAAGCTCACCAGGTTGGAGGCGTTCACCTGCACACGGTAGTCTCCGGGCTGCAGGTACGAGTGCTCAGCCCAGGGCTCATCTGTGTCCTGTGCCGGGGCCCCATCTCCAAAGTCCCAGCGGTAGGCCACGCGCCGGGGGCTAGGGCTTGTGGCGGCCTCAAACCGGGCCGAGCGGTTGGTGAAGCAGCGGCCGCTCTGCAGCGCGACGTACTGGACGACATCCTGGACCTCCACCACGAGCGTTCGGTTCTCGCTGCCTAGCGCGTTGAAGGCCCGCACGTGGATCTCCAGCAGCCCCGCAGCCACAGGTGTGTAGGTGACATCACGGCCAGACAGGATGACCAGTGAGTCGCCCTGAACCTTCTGCAAGGAGAAGTACCAGGCGTAGGCGACTCGAGAACCACGCTGCACACGGGCCGTGAAGTTCCGCTCGGTACCTGTGGCGATGCCCGGCTCGCAGCAGTTGGGCACCTGCAGCCCGCTCACAGCCTCCAGCACCGAGACGCGCACCTGTGCCTGGGCCCGGCTCACGTGGTTCTCGGCCTGCACACTCACCACGTGGTCTCCTACCCGGGGGAAGCTGCGGGAGAAACGGGGCCCGGGGAGCACTTCGGGGCCAGCCCCGCCAACCTGCAGGCGGAAGGTGACAGCCGAGCCGGTGGCCAGCAGGATCTGAAAGTGGACAAACTGCCCAGGTGCCACCACCTTGCTGCTGGCCCACAGCACCAGACCCACGACGGGCTCCTCCACTGTGAGGCTGTGCACGGCTGTGCCCCAGCTGACCGCGTTGGAGGCGTTGAGCTGGACAGAGAAGGTGCCAGCATCGGGGAAGACCACAGCAACATGCTGGCCAAGCTTGTTGCCACCTGGCACAGCCCAGCACCAGCTCACGTTGGTGCCTGTGGCCAGCTGCCCCCAGAACGGCACTGTGGAGCCAGCAGCCACAAAGCTGCCATCCGGCTCACCGGCCCTGATGCTGAGGCCACTCACAGGTGCCTGCACGGCCACTTCAGTGGTGGCATTGGCCGAGCCCAGCTGGTTCCCGGCTGTGACTGTGAGCACGTACAGGCCAGCCGTGGCGAAGGTGTGGGTGGTGGATGGCTCGGGGGTCTCCCAGCTCAGCCCTTCCTCCAAGGACCACGTGTAAACGATGCCGCTGCCACCAGCCAGGCCAGCACACAGGGTGACGCTTGTGTTGACAGCAGCTGGGTTGGGGGAGGCAGTCACACTCAGCCACCCCACGGGCTCCACGAAGTCCACAGTGCGGTTGGCCCGGGCACTGCCCAGCATATTGGTGGCCCGCAGCTGGATGTGGTAGGTGCTGGCCTCGAGGGCGGTGAGCGAGAAGCCCTTGCCACTGCCGACGAGGGCTGGGCCACCATCCTGCTGGGCCGTCCAGCTGTAGGAGATGTTGGTGCCATCCCTGACCACGGCCTGCAGCTGCAGCGTGTGGTTGGTGGGGAAGCAGCAGCTGCCACCGCCACCCACCACCTGCAGCCCCTCGATGAACTGCAGGACATAGATGAAGATGCTGTCCTGGGCGGAGCCCACCTCGTTCTCAGCCGTGACGATGATGTTGAAGGTGCCCACCGAGCGGAAGGTGTAGGAGATGGTGGGGCCCCCAGGAATGGGCGTGCAGCGGTCACAGAGCACCCAGGAGTAGTGCACGTCACTGCCCGCCTCCAGCGAGGTGCTGAAGCTCACGCTGCCATTCAGGGGCACCGCCGTGCGGCTGGCGTTGAGGCTGAGCCCCTGCACGCGCTGCTTCACTGTGACGTTGAGCCAGGCCTCGCTGCGGCTGACCCCATTCCAGCCAGCCACCCGGACAGTGAAGTCACCCGTGCTGTTGTAGGCATGGGTGACCTCTGGGCCCTCAAGCCACCTGCCGTCCCCCAGCTCCCACAGGTAGGTGGCGGGGTGCCCACGGCCCAGGGCGGAGAAGAGATAGGGCTGCCGCAGCTCCAGCACGTGAGAGCCGTTGACCCCGATGCCCGAGAGCACCACAGGCTCCTGCACCGCCACCAGAGCCGAGTCATTGGCGGCAGACACGTTGTTGGACACGGTGACTGTCACCAAGTAGGAACCCGGTTCACGGTAGGTGAATGTAACCTCAGGGCCCCAGGTGCAGGCAGGGGCGGCATCCTTGGTGCCCAAGTCCCAGACGTAGCGGTAGGGAAACAGCGGCCAGGCGCACGCCACCAGCTGGGCCTCATCCCCCAGACGCACGAACTGTCTCTCCGGCTGCAAGGTGACATTGCCCACCTTGGGCTCCACACATACGCTGGTGAAGTAATGTGCCTTGTTCACATGGCTGGACAGGACCAACACCAAAGGGAACGTGCCACTCCGCGTGAAGTTGTGTATTACCGTTGGGGACCCCTGGATGGTCATGTTAGAGGAGCCGTCCCCAAAGGTCCAGTCGAACTGGTAGTGGGCGGGGTCCCCGGTGACGTGGGCCGTCAGCCGGGCAGCGGGCTGTGTGGGGATGCAGGTGGCAGGCTCGATACGCAGCACCTCCAAGACAAAGACCTGCACCTGCAGGCTCTGGGCCAGGTGGCCAGCAGGGCTGGCCGCACCCACGGTCACCGTGCAGTTCTGTGCCCGCAGGTACACGTGCTCCACCGTGGCCTCGGGGCCCATGAGCACAGTGCCATCCCCCATGTCGAAGGTCCACGTGACGTTGTCGCCCATCTCCACGATGGCACTGACCACAAAAGGCGCACCCTGCTCCACAGCCGGGCTCATGTGCACGCTCAGGCCTCGGAGCTCCTCGAAGACTTGGACGCCCGCCTGCGCCGCCACGCCGCTGACCGTGTTGTTGACCTCCAGGCGGACGAGGTACGCGCCCCTCGAGGTGTAGGTGTGGTTGACCACTGGCTGGTTCTGCTGCAGGATGGGGGAGCCATCCCCAAAGTCCCATGTGTACAGGATGCCACCAGGCGAGGGCAGTGGGTGTGGGTAGAAGGTGACAGGCTGGCCAGTCACCAGGATGCTGCTGCTCATGCCCACGGCCACGGCAGGCAGGGTGGCACGCACACTGACAGGCACCTGCCGCGTCAGGTTCTCAAAGGCGTTGGATGCGAGCACGGTCAGGTTGTACTCACCTGTGGGGACAGGCCTGGAGTGGGGCAGCTGCCTGACGCCTGGTAAGCACAGGGGACCCCTCCTAGGCAAGGAGCAAGCCCCACATTGAAGCATCAGAGGCTACACCCTCGGCCAGGCTGCGGGCGTGTGTGACAGCACCGGCTGCACCTGGCTGAGGTGGGGTGGGACCATCTCTCTGCCACACTCAGGTTACAACGCAGCAGGCGCGAGGCCGGGACAGAGCTCCGCCTGCCCTGCTGATGGGGAGGCATTAGTGTGTGGGGCTTCTGGAATTTTAAAAATTAAAAGGCTGAGAGCAGGGAACCAGAAGGTCCAGTTTCTGGCCAGCAGATTCGATTGGTAGGGTTCAGGGGCCCTGGCCACCCCCGCCGCTCACACCCAGGCACTCACCTTCGCCCCAGGAAGGGCCCACAGCCATTAACCCCGGCAGGTCACGGTGGAGGGGATGAGGGCTGGCCCCCAGGGGGACTGTCCTTGGGGGGAATTGCCCCAGGGGAAGGCTCAGAGCCCCTAGAGCCGTGCCCTGCCCTCACCTGGGGCGGCGTAGGTGTGCGTGGCATTGTGCTCTACCAGCACCTGGGCCACCGCCGGGTCTGGGACCTGGAAGGACTCATCGTACGGAGGCTTGAACTGACCCAGCATCTGCTCCCCGTCCCCGAAGGTCCACCTGCCAGGGCGGTGGGCAGGCCGTGAGCAGACCACAGAGGGCGGCAGGCGGGGCTGAACTCACAAGTGGGGGCGCCCACTGGACCAGCTGCACCTGTGCCCGGCAGTGGCTCGTGCCGGCCCTCCATCCAGGCACCGCAGCTCTGCCGTGCCGGGTCCTCCCACCCCCTCCCAGGGTCCTGTGCACCTGGCGCCCCCTGAAAGATGGGGAAACTGAGGCTCTGAAAAGCCACGCTCTGGCCTGGGGTCCCACAGATGAGGCTAGGGGCTGGGACCAGAACCCAGCTGGCCACCCGCTCCCACTGCCAAGCCCCAGGCGCTCACAGGAAGGCCACCTCCACGGCCGAGTCCACCAGCACACTGGCCGTGAGCGTCAGCGTGGTGTTGGGGGGCAGCACAGCCGGCACGGCGGACACCTGCAGGCCCCGCATCCTGTTCATGCGCTCCACGGAGACGTTGTAGTTCACCGTCACGTTGCTCACGTGGTTGGAGGCCGTCAGCTGCGGAGACAGGCGTCAGTGGGCACGGGCCACGGCTGGCCGTGAGGACGGTGGACGGCGAGGCCCCGGCGCCATTCGGCCCTCCTCCTGCACTCACCCACGGCCACGGCAGACCCGTGGGCAGAGCAGAACGGGAGGCAAAGGTGAGAGCCTGGGTGCCACAGGACCCTGCCCCGCCCACCTGCCCACCTACTGAGAGCTTGAAGATGGCGGCGCTCTGGTAGATGACGTTGAAGACCACGTTGTGGAAGGTCAGGGACTGCTTGTCATCGATGGTCCACCGGAAGACCACGTCCGAGCCGGCCTCCACCGCGGGGCTATACCTCTGGGGGAGGTGCGGCATCAGCCAAGGTCAAGACCCTGCCCCAGCCGGAGTCTGTGGAGGATCAACTCCGCCCTCGGGTCCTGTCCACCCGCCTGGACTCACCCCACTGGGGGTGCTGGAGAACGCCAGCATGGCGCACAGGGGCTGGTGGACCTGCAGCTGAACCATGACTACCAGACCCCCACGTCGGGGAGGGGAGGGACATGACCCAGGCCCAGCCTGGGCTCGAGAGGCTGTGTGGTATGGGGGCCACATGGGTACTGATTCCAGGTCAAGACTTGGCTCTCCAACCTCCAGCTACATGGCCTTGGTTATGCCTTGGCATCTCTATGCCTCAGTTTTCCCATCTGTATAGTGGACCTAGTACCAGCTATAAAGTCAACCTATCTCTGAGTTCTCACAAACCCCCTATCCCAGGCTTCTGCCCCAGCTCCTTAGCTGGACAGCTCGGGGCCTTGGGGAAGGTCTGATCAACTGACAGAACAGGCGACACCAGGGCAGCTGGGATACAGCTCCCAGCACAACCGCGCAAGTCACGTGAGGCCCTTCCAGTGACCTCTGGTGCCGGGGTTGGGCAACCCCAGGAAGAGGACAGCCCCCATTCCTGCATGGCACCAGCACGGCCCCCATGGGGGCTAACAGACTCTCCCATCAGAGGTTCAGACTCCCTCAACACCCACTCACATTAGCCAGGTGGGAGCACAACAGAGAGCTTGGAAAACGCACCTGGACTCACAGGGCCTCGTATGAGGTCAGGTGGGCAAAGAGTTAGACAATTTGTTCACGAAATGTGAGCAGAAAGAAGAGCTTGTAGAATGGCTGTTTCAGCTATGACTTTTTAGTAATCTAGAAATTAGTGAGGGGCCTGAGGAGTGACCTGACGAGACCTGGGGAGACAGGCCCCCATCCTGTATGGCACCTGGTCAGGGCGGGGCTACGGGCCACACTCACCACCAGGACTCCCTGCAGCACACGGGCCTCAGGGCTGGGCATGGCACGGAGGCCACAGATGGGTTCCTCGGCTGTCACTCGCAGGCTGAGGTTGGCCCGGCTGGCGCTGTTCTCCGCCACAACCTCCACCGCGTGCTCCCCCTCACTGAGCCCGGGCAGTGCCAGCACTGAGAACAGGGTGTCGTTGGTCTCTTGTTGGCAGCCAGGCAAAAGGGTGGCCACCGTGGCAGGGCAGGCAGCCTCAAAGGGCGCACTGATGTTGCCCCCTGGCCAGCGAGCTGTGGCTGTGGCATTAACACCAGAGTCCACCTGGAGCACCAAGGCTGAGCCGTTGGTTGGCACATAGAGGTGGCCGTCCTGTGGGGCAGGGTGGATGACCCGCAGCCCAGTCACTAGGGAGACCACGCTGAAGACGCAGGACAGGTTGTGCCTGGACACGCTGTTACCCACCATGGCCCGGACTGCGTAGCGGCCTGGACGCTGCAGCCCAGAGTTGGGCCTCAGGCCCAGCAGCGGGGTGAGGCGCTCTGTGGCTGCAAGCACCCGCAGGGCGCAGGCGGGGCCGGCCCGAGCTCCTTCCAGCTGGGCGGGCAGGTGGGACAGCCAGGCCGAGGCATTAGCGAAGAGATACGAGGCGTGGAGGCCAGAGTGGCCGGGGGCCAGCGGGCAGTGCAGGAGGGTCCCAGGGCCAGCGTCGTGCTGCAGTCCAATGAGGTCACCAGGGAGCACGGGGACATCCGGCCCGAGGGTGACCTGCAGGAGAGGGAGGCAGAGCTGCACAATGTCCTCATGGTCAGGGTCTGCAGGGACCACTGGGTGGATGGGGATCCCAGCTGGGGGTCTCAGCACCACAGACCTGCTTTGTGGGTTCCCCGCCCCCTAGGTGCTCATGGTAGGGACAGACAGGACAGCTGCAAACTAGGGACACTACAGGGAGAGGGTGCAGGTAGGGTGGGCTGCCTGGATGGGCAGGGCCCTTAATGGACGCTGGGTCCCAGACCTGAAGGATGGGAAGGAACCAGCGTGCTGACGGGCAGATCAGACACAGCAGGTGCAAAGACCCTGGGGCTGGAGCTGCTCTTGCTGGGAGATGAGCCAGGGCCTGCTGGGGCCAGAGTGGCCAGGGCCGGGAGGGCTTGCCAGGGCAGGAGAACCTGTATCCTGTCCCTTTGGCAAGGAGACCTGGACCTTGGGTGGCTGAGGGGAAGGTGGTCTGGGGAGCTGGTTGGAGACAGACAGACCTAGGTTAGGGACACACACCGAGTACTGTGCGGGGGGCCCTGCAGGAATGGAGAAGAGGAACTCCCTCCACAGCGCATAGGTGGCCCCATGGAGCCTGGGCCCTGACGTGAACCCACTGGCACAGGCCCGAGGGTGACAGGAGGTGTCCAGTGGCACGCAGGCATTGGCTCCAGGGCACCAGCATCCCTCCGGCACGCACTCAGGGGCCAACTCAGTCTGGTTGTCCAGGGACCCACTCTCAGGCTCACTGCTGTTTTCTGGGACCCCTGCGAGCAGAGAGGAGTGTCAGGGGCTCTGATTTGCCAACAGGATCCGGGCTTGTGCCCTGAGGAACCTGACCCCGGCCATGATGCCAGGGCTCACCAGGCAGCATGCCACCCACCCCAGCTCCAACGCCCCTGCCCTGGCCAGCCGACCGGCTCAGGGCAGCCCCCATCCCTCCTTGGGACACCAGGCATACAGCGTCTGTAGACCTGTTCTCTGTCCACCTCGAGGCTGGGAACTGGCCTGGTGGCCAAGGGATCAGCAGATGTGAGAGCTCGGAGAGGCCGTCCTGGCCCCCAGCTCCCACGGCCATCGTGCAGCCGCACCTGTTCCTGCCACGAGCCGGTGCACCTGCAGCCGCAGCTGGGCGGGCTGCCCAAGCTCCTGGGTCCCGAATTCGGCTGTGGTGAGGAAGGCTTCTCGGCTCAGGCTCAGGCCAGGAAACACCATGACCTGGTGGGGGAGGGGGGCCACCTCAGCTCCACAGACCCCACCCCACCTGGCGGCCCGGACTCCCCAAGCCCAAACACTCGCCAGGACAGAGGGGAAGAAAACCACCACAAGGTCTTCCCGCGGCAACCACAGGCCTCGTTTCATGTCACTTGGGAGGAAAATATCAAAATCGTCTATGAGAAGCATATCTTGGTTTTTAAAAAAAATTCCCACACACTCATAGAAAAGACTCAGGAGGCCAAGGCGGGAAGATCACTTGAGGCAAGGAGTTCAACACTAGCCTGAGCAAGAGTGAGACCCTGGGATCTCTACAAAAGAAAAAAAGAAAAATTAGCCAGGCATCTGTATTCCCAGACACTCGGGAGGCTGAGGCGGGAGGATCACTGGAACCCAGGAGTTGGAGGCTGCAGTGAGCTACGATGACAGCACTGCACTCCAGCCTGGGCGATAGAGACCCTGTCTCAAAAAAAAAAAAAAAAAAAAAAAAAAAAAAAAAAAAAAAAAAAAAAAAAAAAAAAAAAAAACAAAAAAGAAAGAAAGAAAAGGCTCGGGGGGGTTTTCAGTGTCCTTCTGGGTCTTGGAGTTAAATGCTTTTGCCCTCTGCACCCCAGATTTTCCAAACTGTCTATGCTGGGCCCTTAATAAGGCCCGAAAGACCCAACTTGTGTTTTAAAGAGACATAGTAGTCGGGACAAGGTACGGCCTCCCGGAGGTGGGGGAGGAGGTTCTAGGACGTGGAGGAGCAGGCCTACCTCCACAGGCTCCCGGGGGGCCGAGAGGACTTCCTGCTGTGCCAGTAGACTCAGAGGTCCCTGCAGGTCCCCGCTGGGCACTCCCACAAAGAAGTTCTCAGCATCCCACACTGGGCCTGGGTGGCAAGTGTGCAATGAGGTGCTGGTGCCAGGCCAAGGAAGACAGCTGGGCACATCCAGGTGGGGCAGACCTGGGACTGAGCCACCCGGCAGCTGTACCCCCAGCTCCCTCTTTGTTTCTTCCAGGGCAGCCTCAGCCCAGGCACAGCGGTGGGTGCTCAGCAAACATCTCACCAACAGTGAACATCTAAGAAACACACGTGGGAGAGGGGCGGCCCCGGCCCCCACCCGCCACCTACGCACACACCTCCGGGCCGCAACTCGCAGACGTAGCTGTGCGGTGCCGAGCACAGGTCCGTGTTACACCGCCCGGCGGGCCCGAGCCGCACGCAGTGCTCGGCCGTGGCGGGGTGCGGCTCCCCGGGCAGCCAGTTCTGGCAGCTCTCCAGGCTGAAGGCCTCGCCCTGGGGGGCTGGGCCCACCTCCGCCCCCTGCACAGCCGAAAAGCCAATCCATACGTCCAGGCTCCTGCAAGCAGATGGCAGGGCACTCAGGGGGCTCCTCAGTCCTCCCACCCTCCTCCCAGCAGCCTGTCAGATGGGCCCTATCACTGTCCCCATTTTCCAGATGGGGAGACTGAGGCTCAGAGACCGGGGGAGTGAGGCGCACACACCAAGCCTGCAGCAGCGTCCACGCAGCCACCCGTGCCCAGGGCCAGTGGACACAGCCAGGGGTAACTCATGGGACTTTGTGTCAGACAGGACCAATGGCCATGGGCCACCCACCGCTTGCCCTGCAGGGCAGCTCCTGGTGCAGCATTTGGGGATCAAGACCCCCGACAGCTCTGCCAGGGCAGGAAGCCCCTCCTGGGGGCAGAGTGCACACACCGGGAGAGGGCTGTGCTTGGGCCCATTAACAATGATCTTGCGGCCCCAATTTCATCTTCCAGACATTGCGGACATTCAGGGTGTGGTCAGTTGCTGACGTGACAGTAGCCCCCAGTCCTCCCCCGACACACGAACCCCCAGGAGAAGCAGGGTCCGGCCTCCATTCCTGTCCCGGCTCCGGGGCAGCAAGACAAGGCCTGGCCCATGGCCTGGAAGCACAGGGAGGGGACGAGAGCCCAAGGTGTCCTCCACAGTGTGGGCGGCTCATGGCGACCCTGCCCGCCCCAGGAAGGGAAGTGAGTGGGGGTGGCAGGAAAGAAAGAGCCCATCCTTAAGGAGGGCACAGGGTCCTCCCCAGAGGGGCAGGGACAGAAGAGGGGCAAGGGACAGGGTCCAGGCCCACCTCCCACACGTGGTGCATCCCAGAAGTGTTTAGCGGCCACTCCAGCCCACGTCTACCTCCGTGCGTGCAGAGATGACGGGCCACCAGCACATGGTTCCTCATCAGTCAGGCCAGACAGCTGGAGGTGGCCCCTCCAGCCATCCCACCTCTCCTCCTGAGCCTCCTGGGGCTCTGACCCCACCCCAATGTACTGGAGACCCCCCACCTCAAAGCCTCTGGCGGGGGGTAGGGACAGACACCTGGTGACCTGGGAGACCAGGAAGCGCTGGACGGCAGGACTGTCCACCATGGCCAGGGCGGCCCCAGCCCAGGCCCGGCACTGCTCCTGCGCCTGCAGCCAGGCTGCCTTCTCCACCACCAGGCGGTAGCAGTGCCCGTTGCCAGGGAAGATCTCCGTGTCCGAGGGGCAGAGCGGGTGCACCACTGGAGCCCAGCACGCAGGGAGAACGGGAGGTCAGCGTGTGCCGAGGCGGGTGCCAGGCCCTGCCCTTCCCACCCCAGCCCCAGGGAAGAAGGGGAGACCCAGTGAGGAGTGTGTACCTTGGGCTGGCTCCTCCCCCAGGGCCACGATGCTATAGGAGGCCTCGAGGCCTGAGCCGCCACGATTCAGGACTCCGAGTTCAAGGCTCTCTTCACTTTTCACCACGGACGGGCACACAAGCTCCACTGCAGTGGGCGCTGCCTCCACCTGCACCTCTGTCTCCAGAGGGACCAAGCCAGCCCCCAGGGCCAGCACAGCCGTCACATGATAGTGCCCAGGCAGCACATAGCGGTGTGTGGCAGCTGGACCAGTGACATCCACCCTGGGGGAGCCATCGCCAAAGTCCCAGCGTGCAGAGCTGACGGGGAGGGGGGCGGCAATGTGGAAGGCTGCTGGCTGGCCAGAGGCCAGGGGTCCGCGGGGCCCCACCAGGGTGGCCCCCGGGGAGGCACGGAAGACATGCTGGAGGAGGGTGGGGCCCCCGCAGGCAGCGGCAGGTGCAGGGGGTGGCAGGGGGCTGGAGCAGAGGGACAGGCAGGCCGAGGAGGTGTTGGGGGGCTGGGCCGCCCCACACAGGCACTGGCCCTGCTCTGAAAGGGCTGCCAGGCCCTGGCCGGCCGAGAAGCAGAAGGCACCACAGGCCTCGGGGTCCAGCAGGCCCTCGTGGGCCACTGAAAAGGCTGCAGTCACCACAGTGCCCGAGCTGTTGTCGGGGAGGCAGGCGACATACTCCTCACCTAGAAGAGGCAGAAAAGCTGGTCCCCCAGGGCTCCCACCTCCTCTCGGCCCCAACATCTTCCCCACCCCAAGGTCCCAGACCAGAACCCCAGCAGCTGCGTGGCACCTACGGCCCCAGCACTGTCCCACTCCACATGCGTCTGCTCCCTGGGCCCCATCTGCTGCCCCCACTGGGCTGGGACCCTGAGCGTCTGCAGGGCTCCGCCTGGCCCAGGTCCTGCCCCACCTGCCTGCACTCACCACAGCTGCTGTCCAGCAAGGGGGTGCCGAGGAGGGGCTGGCCGGCCAGAGGGCCAGGCCCGGCACACGTGGCTGCCTCAGGCTGCACCACACGAACCCGCTGCTCCTCCACCCAGCGCGGCAGCCAGGCCAAACCACAGTCACACTCAAACGGGTTCCCACTGAGGTTTCTGCAAGGGAGGGGTGGGTGTGAGGCCCTAGGCCTGGCCTGGGGAAGGGTCTATACTGGCCTGTCCTGGGGCAGCCAGGGCCTGGGGCCTCTCTGAAAGTCCAGCCTCCCACTGCCCTGTGGGGGCTGCCCACCCCAGAGGGGCTCCAGGCAGGGAGGCCAACTACCCCAGGTCTGGTCTCCAATCTGGGAATGGGTATGGAGCCAGCTACAACGGCAGAAGGAACACTGGGGAACCAGGGGAGCCACTGACACCCACCAAAAACAATGCCACTTACATTTCACTTAAATTAAATAAATTAGCAAATATTCCTTCCTCTAATGTGGAAATTTCGTTGTTGCTTATGTCCCTGGAAGAAAGAAGGCCATTAGGCAAGGTCTCAGAAACTCCGCAGTCCTACAGTGACAGGCGGCTGCCACCTGTCCGCCCGGAGTAATCCCCAGGAGCAGCACAGCTGGGGAGGGACACTCACAGCTCCGCCAGCGCCGAGAGGTTGCCCAGAAGCCCGACGTCCAGTGCCTGGAGCAGGTTGTGGGAGATGTCTCTGAGAAGCAAGCGGCCACAAGTCAGGGCCGGAGTCCCCGCCGAGCACAAGGCCGTCTCTAGGCCATCCCCAGGAGATTCCCAGCACCCCCAAGCTGTGGCCTCTCACCCTCCAAACTCCCCACTCCCAGGAGCTAGAAGGGGGACCTTTCTGATGGAGGATCCGAATAAACACTCATCTGGGAGACGGGGCAGGAGAGAGCGGGGGCCCCTCAGCATCCCACAGCACACCTCAGCTCCGGCTGGGTGCTGCACAGCAAGACCACAAAGACCTGCTGACCTTGGACACCTGGACAGGTCCCCCAGCCACCCCCTGCCCCCAGCCCCGCCCCCAAGAGCCAAGGCCCCTCATGTCTGGCCCCAAGCCCAACAGGGTCCCACACCACCAAGGGCTGACCTCACCCACCCTCCACACAGGGTTCAGAATGCACTGGGGCTCCCACCTCAGAATGTCCCAGATGCAGTGGGGGCACAAAGAAATGGGGAGGAGGCCCTGGATGACCCCAAATCCTAGTGATAGAGATGGCCCCATTAAACCCCAAGTTTAGCCGGGCATGGTGGCTCATGCCTACAATCCAAGCACTTTGGGAGGCTGAGGCGGGAGGATCACTCAAGGCCACGAGTTCGAGACCAGCCTGAGCAAGAGTGAGACCCGTCTCTAATAAAAATAGAAAAACTAGCCAGGCACAGTGGTGTGCGCCTGTAGTCCCAACTACTCGGGAGGCTGAGGCAGCAGGATGGCTTGAGCCCAGGAGTTGAACCCAGGAGTTTGACGCTGCTGTGAGCTATGACAACGTCACTGTGCTCTAGGCTGGGCAACAGAGCGAGACTCTGTCTCAAAAAAAAAAAAAGAAAAAAGAAACCCTCAAGTTTAACATGACCCTGATAACAACCCCACTATCAACAAGATATGAAGGTTCATCTGGAGGCACCAACACCAGCGAGCAGGAGCCGGCAGGAAACACACCAACACGGATCTGCTGCTCCATACTGTGCCTCGGGTGGGCGGGAAGGAGCCGTGGCTAGACCCTGACCCCGGCCGGCACCATGCCGGGAAAGGCAGGGCGCGATCAGGGCACTGGCACCGTAGCACCGTGCTAGGACCAGACAGTCCGGCAGAATGCAATGGCTCAAAGCACAAACCTAAGAGCAGAGATAATATATCAAAGAGCAACAGATCCAGCTCCATCCAGAAACGCAAAAACTGAGAAACAGACTACAGACTGGGAAAAGCACCAGCAATCTAAAGGACAGATTAAAGGCCAATGACACCCTTGCCCACAGCTGGTAACGAACCATAAAGGAAAGGCAACTGCTCCAATTAACAAGAACAAGAGGCTAAAGCAAACACAGGCAATTAACAAAAGAAGTACAATTGGTCCTTCACAGACGTGGAAAACACACTCAATTTTAGTAGTAACTGGAGAAAAACCAACTGGACACAGCAACGCAGCGGCAATTTTGGTCCGCCGGTGTCAGGAAGGCAGCCCTGGTGCTGGGACACGGAGGTGGGATGTGCGACCTGAGTGGCTCAGCTCTGCCTTTCCCATGTGGCCCTCTTCGCCCAGCAACCCCCCTGACCTCTCGCGCCCTTCCCACCCCCGCACAGGGATCCACCGGGCACGTCAGTCCCCACCCCATGACACCTGGGCCCCTCTGCTCTCCCAGCGCCACTCACCAACTCTGCCCTTCCCAGCAAGACCCCCAGGCCAGCCAAGCCAGAGGATGGGGGTCCCTCCGTGGTCCCCTTTCCCAGCCTCCTCCCCCATCCCCTGCCCTTCAGAGGAGCCCCTGCCTGGTGTTGCTCCCCCATCTGCTCCCGCAGCAGCTGCCCACATACAGCGAGGGACTTCAGAGGGGAAGGGACAAAGAGGGGACCCAGTGCCACCCAGCTGAGGCAAGGGCGGCCAAGCAGCAGCCCCGGACCCAGACCGTGGACTCCAGCCCTCACTCAAGTGAGTCGCCAGACAAGACGCTGAGCATTCAGCTCACTGAGCTCCATCGAGAGACGGGCATGTGCCTGGGGGTGCAGGTCTCATCTCCAAGGGCTGTGGGACAACCAGAAAGCCTATGACCAGAACCCGGGGTTCAGGAACTCCAGGAAGGGGAACAGGTCCCTGGGGGCCGGGGGCCATGGAGAAGGTACCCTCTGGAAGAGCTGCCTATCACCCCAGCTGAGCACAGCTTCTCCGTTGTCCCCTCCACACACCAAGATAAGGCCTGAGGCCTCACTGCACGAGGACACATGGGCCAAAGCCAGGCGGTGTCCACCACGCTCCTGTGAGGGGAGGGACAGGCTGGTTGCTCGGAGACCAGGGAGAAGCCACTGCCCCAGACGGGGTGAGGCAGCCAGACTCCCACCCACTGGGCAAGCACAGCACCCAACACAGGCGATGGCTGTGTCACGAGACACTTCAGGTGGACAAAGTAGGGGCCCCCATGGCTGCAGTGACACAGCTGAGGACCATGTGCTTTGAGGAGCAACAGCACAGGGGAGAAGGTGAAGCAGAGACCAAGGGTGAGCGCAGGTAGGCCCCCGACGGGGACATAGCAACACTCCCACACCTGCCCCCCATGGGCATGGGACACAGGGAGGAAGGAAAAGAGACCCTAAGATGTTTGTTCACACCCCACTTTCTGGAAAATCCACAGGAACCTCAGATGCCAGACCGGGACATGGGGCAGGTGGTCCTCAGGGTCTCAGAGACCCCCCCACCCTCGGCAATGCCTTTAAGGTGCCTTCCACGCCTGCCGGTGGTCCCACCCTGTCACAGGTGCTGGCCACATGCTCCCTGAATACCAGTCTCAGCCCAGTAATTCTCCCCGGCATCACTTGGGCCCTTGGCCCACGGGCAGGGAAAGTAGCAGACGGCCGTGGGGACCCCACTCAGCCAAGCTTCCAGTGGGGTCCCCATGGAACCCTCACCTGGCCCACTGCCTAAAGCCTGAGTTTGCCACACTGCCATCTTCCGCCACTGCTGTTTGGAGGGATGCCAGGCCCAGCAGGCGGCCTGGGCCCCCACCCCTCGGGCTCCATCTGTACTCCCAAGTGACACCATCACCATCAGATGCTCTGCCCCCACTCTCAGGCTCCCGGCAAGGATGGGGCAGCACAGCAGGCCAGAAAGCTGCCACCAGGGCCACACGCTGGCAGGATCACAGGCATCAAGGCTGGCCTGGCGGCAGCTGTCCCACACACCCCTCACCCCCCATTGGGAGGGGAGCCAGCAGCTGGCTGGAGCACCCCAAGGAGTCCAGCCAGGTAAGGCCCAACCTCTGGGGCGAGGGGCTGACCTGAGGATCACACACACCAGGGAGGAGGCAGGCCCGGGCAGTATGAGACCCACAGCGCCGCAACGCTGGGACGTTAGTTACCTCATGGTCCAGACAGAGGTGCGGAGGGGTTCCCAGGCCTGGCCCGGCCCCTCTGCTGCTCCCTCTCCTGCTCCAAGAGGCACAAGTGGGCTAGGGAGGGGTGAAGACCCCCACTGTGCCCCAGGAGTCACTAGGAGCCCACTGAGCCCCTGCACTGGGGTGGTCCCGACTCCCCCACCTTCCAGATCAGATGTTCTCGGAGGGCACCATCCTCCCACCTGTGGGGTGCAGGGCCTCGGCCCCCCGGGATTACATCCACAGGCACTCCACAGCCGAACCTGTACATCTGGCTCCCATCTTCCTGGCTAAAAGCAGGGGCTCCCGCACCCTTGCTTGCAGGGCTCTGCCCAGTCCAAGAGGAGGGTCGGGTGATGCCCTGAGGCACAGAGGGCAGGGCAGTCTCAGGGGTGGCTTTCCTCCCCACCTAGAAGCCAAGGAGAGGGTCCCCACAAACGTCTGCAGCTTTGTTGAGAGTGGGGCACCTCCGAGGGCCATCCCTACCCAGGAGCTGAAGGGACAGATGCCCCAGACAAGCAGGGACCCTGACCCACAGCTCGGCAGCCTCAGTTTCCTCCCGTGACGAGGAGGGGAGTAGCCCACGTGCCCGCTCCCCAGTCCACATGCCGGGCGGGGTCTGGGGGCTGGCCGGAGCCCCCAAGGAAACATCTGCACATTCCAGACGTGTGTGGTCAGCGGCGCGGGCGAGCGCCAGGCCCGGCACCCCCACCCCGCGCTGGCCGCCTCGCTGGAAACAGGGCTTGCGGGGACGGGCTCCACAGGGGCCGCCTGCGGACATTATGTAACCCGGGCCTCCCAGCCAGTTGCCTCCTCCCTCTGGCAGGACAGGACAGCGCAGCAGCCGGGGGCACCCACGCACCCCCTGCAAGGCCCAGGTGCTAGCCAGCCCTGTCCTCTCCCAGAGGAGACGGGGTCCCCTCAGCCCAGCACGAGGGAGCCCCAGACACGTCCCTTCCTAGAGCCAGGCCCAGGGCAGAAGAAAAGAGAGTGAACGTCAAGCCCCTTGGACGGGGTGGGGGACAGGGCCAGGACCCCAGGGGCTCACTAAAGGCTCCTTCCTTTCGGGAGCCAAGCCCTGTGACCTCATTCTGTTCTCATCCCCTTTGCTCTTCTATTTATGGTGAGTGAGGCTGGTTTCCAGGGCCGGAAATGATGACGTTTAAATTAATGAATTCAAGTTGGTGGGGGGAAGCTGCTGGTGACACCTACCCCACTTCCCCAGGAGAGGGGGGGGAAGCCCAGCAGACCCAGCCCCCAGCCCCGCACCAGGGCCCTCAAGCAGTGGGGGGTCGCTCTGAGATAAAAGGAAAGGCCCCCAGGACTCAGGCAGCAGGCATGAGCCCCGTGGCCAACAAACTGGTGTGTGAGGATCCTCGTCCCAGCGCGTTGGGACTAGCAGGAGAGCCCCATACCTTACGGGGCCTTTGGGGGCAGTCTCTCCTCATGGAGCCAGCCACACAGGTACCAGATCCTCCCACAACTGAGCGGTCATCACCTGGGGGTGATACAGGACCTCATGGGGCCCAGAGGCAGGGACAGGGATGGAGACTCAGGCCTCAGAGCCTGGGGGAAAGAGATGAAAAAGTGAGGTGTCCAGGGATAGCCTCC